ATACACACTTTACATCAATGGACATATCATACAGACAGAAAATCAATAAAGAAACTAATGGCCTCAACTGACACATTAGACAAGATAAACTTAAAAGACAGGATATAAAGAGAGCATTCCATCCAAAAGCAGCAGAATACACATTCTTCTCAAGTGCAAATGGAACATTCTCTAGGATACATCATATGCTAGGCCACAAAACAAGACTCAGTAAATTTGAGAAAATGGAAATCATATGAAACAACTTTTTTGACCGTAATACATAAAACTAGAAATCAACTCCAAGAAAAAAACTGCAAAAAACACAAACATGTGGAGGCTAAACAATATGCTACTAAATAAACAATACATTAGTGAAGAAATCAAGAAAGAAATAAAAAAAAAAAAACCTGGAGACAAATTAAAATGCAAACCAATAATCCAAAACCAATGGGATACAGCAAAACCAGGAAGTTTATACAAATAGAAGCATACCTCAAGAAACAAGAAAAATTTCAAACAACCTCACTTTAATATCTTAATAAAGCAGTCTTACCTCTTGCCTCAAGTTACCTTAGAGGGAAATAAACTGTCCTAAGCAATGATATGAGATGAAATATTCTTTTTTTCTCAGTTTTATTAAGAATTAAGTGACTTACAACACTGTATAAGTTTAGGCAGAAATGTTCTTAACATAGCTTCCTCAGAACTATACATCATTATTCTTTAAAAATTGTTCAAAGTACAAGCATTGCTTTGTATTTTTTTAAACTGTAGGGAAAGCCCAAAGTTATGTATATATAAAAAGGAAAAAGAATTCTATGTCTCAGCTAGAAGTGAGTAATATTTACATAATTATAATGTAAACTGAATATTGAGATAAAAATTATGAGGTAACTACATTTGGAGGATGAGATCAGATGAAATGAGGACAGAGAGGGGTGAAATTAAAACAACTAAATACATAATTCCTCATCCACAACAGAAACTTAATAGATTTAAATCTAAAACTGAAAAATGAACAAAGAACATAAGCATGTTATTTAGTAATATGGCAGAATATACAAAAATAAAGTGTTAAATGAATTGAAGATGTCTGCATCTGAGGAGCAGCAATGAGTGTTTTTGTATGTTTCTTGGTTGTTTGTTAGTAACGTGATATAAAACATATGTGTACTTTGTACCAGTATCAGCCTATCAATAATGATGCTATGTGCTAAAAATGCCTGGGGGCACTCACAGGGCCTGCAGTAAGCTCCACACACAGGCTTTTCTCCTTTCAGAACCACTGTTGTGACTGGATCAGCTCTTGCGGTTCTTAAATTGCAAGATCATGATCATTGCCTTAAGCAATAACCATCAGGAAACTTTGGAAAAAGCAACAACAACGAGGTTTATTACCCACAGGTCTTGGAGGGTACACAGCACACCAGGGGCTACACAGTGAGATCACAGGTAGAGAAAGTTTTCTATTATTTTGTAACTTTTCTCTAAGTTTAAAATCATTCAAAATAAAGTTTGAAAAAAATGCCTTGCGAAAAGTGTTAAAAGAAGTTCTTCAGAAGATTTGGTGCCTGGTGAGATCCTGCTTTCTGATACAACTTGTTGTCTTTTCACTGTGTCCTCACGTGGTGGAAGAAGTAAGGGAACTCTTTGGGTTCTCTTTTATAAAGGAACTAGTCTCATTCATGAGGTCTCTATCTTCATAATATAATAATCATCACACAAATGTGCTACCTCCAAATACCATCACACTAGAGATAAGGTTTTAACATATGAATTTGGAGGGACATAAATACTCAGTCTACAGCAAAATGGTATAGAGTTATATGAAAGTGGACTGACATTGGTTGTCAATGTATATTGCAAACTCGAGGGAAATCACTTAAACAAAGGAAAAAAAATAGAAGTATAACTGATATGCTAAGAAAGGAGAGAAAAAGGGAATCAAATAAAATGCTCAATTAAAACCAAAAAGCCAGAAAAAGAGTGGAAGACAAAAGTAGAAACAAAGAACAAAGGCAAAAAATATGCTAAATATTAATCCAAATGTATCAGTAATTACTTTGAACCCCAATGGTCCAAATGCATCAATTGAAAGACAAGTGATTCTCAGAGTGGAAACCCAACTGTCTAAACTTAGATATAAGAAACCTGCTTTAAGTATAAAGATTCAGATAGATTAAAAGTAAATGGATGGGGAGAAATATATCAACCCTAGTCAAAAGAAAGGAGAAGTTACAGCAATTTCCAACAGAACAGACTTCAAGGCAAGGGAAGTTATCAGGGATAAAGAAGGGCATTACATAATGATAAAAGGGTCAATACTCCAAGAAGACATGATAAATTTTAATGTATATGCACTTACCAATAAAGCATATACAGTGTGAGACAAAAACTGACAGAACAGCAAGGAGAAATAGATGAATCTACTATTATAGTTGGAGACTTCAAACACCACTCTCAGAAATGAACATACCCAGCAGGCAGAAAATCAGTAAGGACAAAGCTGAACTTAACAATACCATCAATCAACGGATAGAATTGATGTCTCTAGACTACTTCATCCAACAACAGAAGACACGTTTTTCTCAAGCTCACATAGAACATTCAACCAGATAGACCCTGAGCCATTGGACAAACCTTAACAAATGTAAAAGAATAGAAATCATGCAATGTCTGCTCTCAGACTAAAGTGGAATTAACTTGAAATTAACAACAAAATAATAACTGGAAAACTCCAAAACACATGATTAATCAGTGCACTTATAAGTAACATATGGTTCAACTAAATTTCATGAGAAATTCAAAAATATTTTGAACTAAATGAAAATGAAAACACAACTTATCAAAATGTGTGGGATGCAGTGAAACATAGCATTGAATGTATATATTAGAAAAAAAGAATGATTTAAAATCAATCATCTAAGCTTCCACCTGAGGAAATTAGAAAAAAGGAACATTTAAATTAAAAGCAAGCAGAAGAAAAGAACTAATAAGAATTAGAGAAATCAATGAAGTTGAAAACAGTAAATCAATAGAGAAAAATCAATAAAACCAAAAGCTGGTTCTTTGAAATGATCAGTGAAACTCATAAGATGCTAGCCGGGCTAACTAAGAAAAAGGAGAGAAGTTACAGATTACTAACATTAGAAATGATAGAAGGAACATCACTACAGATCCTATGGACATGAAAAGGATAATAAAGGAATACTATGAACAACAAATATGATAACCTAGATGAAATGGACCAATTCCTTGTAACACACAATCTGCCAAAACCCACACAAAAGGAAACAATCTGAATAGGCCTATATCTATTAAAGAAATTGAATCAATAATGAATAACCTTCCAAAAGAGAAAGCATCAGGCCCAGATGGGTTCACTGGTGAATCCTATCAAACTTTAAGGAAGAAATTACACAAATTCTCTGCAATCTCCTTCAGAAGATAGAAGCAGAGGGAATACTTCCTAACTCTCTCTCTCTTGGGTCAGCATTACTATAACACCAAAACCAGGGGAAGACATTACAAGGAAAGAAACTACAGACAAATATCTCATTAACACACATGCAAAAATCCTCAACAAAATATCAGCAAATTGAATCAAAAAATTTATTAAAAGAATTATACACTATGACCAAGTGAGATCTATCTCAGGTGTGCAAAGCTGGTTCAACATTCAAAAATCAATTAATGTAATCCATCACATCAACAGGCAAAGAAGGAAAAATTACATGATTATATCAATAGATGAAGAGAATGTTATTTGACAAAATCCAACCATTCATGATAAAAACTCTCAATAAGCTACGAGTAGAGGGGATGTTCCTTAACTGGATTAAGAACATCTACAAAACTGTTCTAGAATAATTTTTTTAAATCAATACAATACCTGGTATTAACAGAATAAAGAATAAACACTCCGCTGAAATTAAAAAAAAAAACCCACAATGACAGCGAATTACAGGAACTTCTGAAATTTAACAGCAAAAGCAAGTCTAATTGGAAGACTGGACTCTGGAACCAGCTGCTCAAGCATTATAACATACAACTTTTAAAGAATTTCCAGAAATGGTAAAAGTTGATTTTTCTATGAACAGAGCTTTTGTACAGCTCGCAGGTAGACAAACTTAGGTGAACTTGATATAACCATTAATGTAGATGAAAAGAGCTTTCCATTTAGAAACAGACCTAACTTTGTGGAGTGGCTCTCAGTTTGTTATATATTCTTACTGAATATCACAATCTTCTATCTGTATAAAGTCTATCATACCAACCTTATAAGTCTTTTTTTTAAATTAGGTTTGTTTCATTATTATTATTATTATTATTATTATTATTATTATTATTATTATTATTATTATTATTATTATTATTATTTATTTATTTAATGGAGGTACAGGGGATTGAACCCAGGACCTCACGCATGCTAAGCACGTACTCTAACCTCGATCTATATCCTCCCCCCATTAAGTCTTTTTTCAGCATATATATCACGTGTGTGAAATCTCTCAAACGTGAGTTATTATACAAAGAACATTATACTTAATGAAAATGTACCAAAACCATGGAGTTCATTTTCTTAAAGCACCGCACACATTCATTACACTTAGGAAAAACTGGAGTAAGCACACAGGTATAAAGGAGTGTTCAAGCCACCGTAATTTTTTGTTTTCCCTGTGCTGTTCAGTCAAGTTTAAGTAGTTGGAGTTTAAAAATCACTTTAAAACCTTTACAGAATTGGAAGAAGTAGCTTTTCAGACTGTGAAGTGAGGAACTGACCAGGTGAAAATATATCATCTCTCAGGTTACCTTTTTTATCATCCCGCGGAGGCCTGCCAAAGGCAGGACCGACAACACTTGCAGCCAAGCTGTAGACCGCCGAAGCACTTCCGGTCGTCGGCTCGGAGGCGGGGAAACGAGCAAGCGGCGCAGATAGTGCCTGTACGCATGCGCACCCGGGCGCAGCCTCTCCGGAGCGAGCTGTCTCATTACGTCACCGGTAGCCTCGCTAGGACGGCAACCGGCGGGAGTTTTTCAAAATGGAAGCGCGGAAGCGCCGCCCAGGCCTCGGAAGGTGCCCGGGAGACCTTTCCGTGGCTGTGCTGTTGTCGCCGGGAGCGGCGGCCTAGACAGCCAAGCCTGATGGGCGCCAACACCCGCTTGCTGCTTGGAGCGCTGTCTCGAAAGGACTGTGTGAAGGGAGCTAATCCGGGGAGCACTGGCCGGTGCCTGGAAATATGGCGACCTGCATCGGGGAGAAGATCGAGGTGAAAAGATTCAGTAGGGCAGGTGGGAGTGGGAGTGGCGGGACTCGACGTGGGCAGGAAGGGGATCGGGCGAAGCTAACAGCTGCTGGGTGGGGGCCGAGGTGCTTTGGGAGGGTCCCAACCGCCGGGGGCTCGGCTGTTTGAGGGCGGAGCGACCCGCCCCTCCGAGCTGCGGTGGCGGTGGGACAGGTGAGTAGCTCGCAGCCCCGCCCTTCTGTCCCTAGACACCACGGCTTCTTGTCAGCGATCCCGCCGGATCTGCCGCGCTAGAGCTGGGGAAGGCTGTCGCCCTCTTTCTCCAAGGGGATGGCGGTTACCTCCGGCGGGAGTTGCGGCGGGATTCTGTTCAGGCCCTTAACTCTCAGGGGTTGGCTAGAGGTGGGAAGAAGGTGCTGAGGCTACACTGAGGTTGAGGAACCAGATCATTAGGGTGCTCCATCTAGAACCCAGCTAGAAGCTCAGGGAGACCCGCAAGGCGTCAACATGCTTTCCACTCCAGACACCTGCTGTATCGAGGTGTAATACCTGCTTGAATTTTGAGTGAAAATTCCCTTCTCTTTTTCCAGCCCCTTTCTGTTTTTCTTCCTTTCTAATTCTGAAAGTCATCACACATATTCTTTAATTTTAACTTTTAAGGATTTTAAAGTTGGAAATCTGCTTGGTAAAGGATCATTTGCTGGTGTCTACAGAGCTGAGTCCATTCACACTGGTTTGGAAGTTGCAATCAAAATGGTAAGAATATATTAATCAACTTCTCACCTCTAATTTGCGAGTAACTAGAGAGGTTTGCTACTTGAGATGTCAGAAACTCCTTACTTGCGAGCCTTTTCTGTATTGTGTAAAATTCCCATTTCTTAGGCAGAAGACAGTAGATCCAGGTTCAACAGTTGAACTTAAGGATAGCTTAGCAGATTCTTAAAAAATAAATGTTTGATCTTCACAATGTTCATTAGACCTGGTATCTGTTCTAATTATGCATGGAATAATTGTTAGAAATCAAAGAACAAATAATTTGTTTATAATCAAAAGAATACACTTGTGCGTAGTTCTGTGTTACACTGTAACAAGTTAAAATACTATTCTTGGGGGGAGGGTATAGCTCAGTGGTAGAGTGCATGCTTAGTATGCATAAGGTACTGGGTTCAATCCCCAGTACCTCCATTAAAAATAAATAAACCTAATTACCCCTACCAAAAAAAAATACTATTCTTGATTGTTAGGAGTCAGTCTAATAGGAGTAACACAAGCAAATTAAGAAGCACTTATCTAAACCAGTAGGAAAAGGGAAGTTTTAACATTTTGCTAAATTTTTGTTGTTGTTATAGCTATGATAGTTGAGCTATTAAATTCTTTAAGTTGGTAGAGTGTATTAGAACGCATTGGGTAAACTTATTGACTGTCTACTCTGCCAAGCACTGTGCTAGGTGCATGGGGAAAACAGACCACAGATCTCAAAAAGTAGATAAAAGGACTTCAGAGTATTTTAAAGTATACTCTCTTTTCAAAGTTGATTTGACAACTTCACATTTGAAAGTTTATCATCAACATTTAAACCTCTCATATTATTTTTAGATAGATAAGAAAGCCATGTGCAAAGCTGGAATGGTACAGAGAGTTCAAAATGAGGTGAAAATACATTGCCAATTGAAACACCCTTCTATCTTGGAGGTAAGATACAAATTTTATTAAAGTGATCAAAGACATTGAATTTTTCTGTATTATACTTTATTATGCCCTTTTACATTTCAGCTGTATAACTATTTTGAAGATAACAATTATGTGTACCTAGTATTAGAAATGTGTCATAATGGAGAAATGAACAGGTATCTGAAAAACAGAAGAAAACCATTCTCAGAAAACGAAGGTAGGCTGTGCTTCTTTTTTTCTTTCTTTTTTCCTTTAAAAATTTTTTTCTTGGTAGATACGAATTCTATTCCTTGTAGTATTGAAGAATATACTATTTTGTAATATTTAGTAAAACTGTTTCAATTATTACTTTGGGTTACAAAAGATTTTTCCCCCCAAACTAAAAAAGCTGTTAATTCATATAAATAATTCAGACATTACAGAAGTGAAAAAGGAGAAATTTGCTATCCATCTTTTCCCAAAACAACATTTTAAATTACATCATTGGTCACAATTTACCAAGTGCTTATCCTTTCAAATCTAGAATAAAACTTTTTAGAATGCTATTAATGTAGTAGTTTCTAAGTCAAACACAAATAACTTATTTAAATCATTTATTACAGAAAATATCAAACATGTAAGTTGAGGGAATAGTATAATGAGCCACCTTCTAAAACTATCAACTCATGGTCAAATTGTTTCATCTGTACTCTTCTTATTCCCCATTTTCCCCAAATATTTTGAAGCAAATCATATACATTTTTTAACTTTGAAAGATACAGACATTAAAAAAAACAGCACAAAGTCACTATCACACCTAATAATTCTTAACTGTCGAATATATTATCAGTTTCAGCTTCCTCAGTGTCTTGTAAGTAACTTTTTATAGTTCAGATCAGAATCAATAAGGTCCATATAGCATCACACAAATGATTGTTTTCAAATTACTTTACCCAGCTATTTGAGATTGCAGGCTAAGATTGAAGGCTAAGAAAGGTAGTTGCTGATAGGCTTTTTGTCCATTTGATTCTGTATTTAACCCATTTGGAAAACAATTTGGTCATATTATTAAAAGTTATGGAGCGGGGAGGGTATAGCTAAATCAGTAGAGCTTGTCCTTGGCATGCATGAGGTCCTGGGTTCATCCCTGGTACCTCCTCTAAGAATAAATAAAATAAATAGACCTAATTACCTCCCCCCACAAAAAACAAACAAAAAAGTTATGGAAGTGTTCATATCCTTAGACTGAAAATAAAACCATAATACAAATTGAAAGTAAATCCATGCACATATTGATGAGTACTGCATTTTTCATAATACTGTATAATAGGAAGTCCTTAAATAAGGCAGAACTTGCAAAAGATAGGAAATGAATTATCAGTTTGACTTAATTAAAATTAAGAATGTGTTAGACAAAAGATACTGTTAACAAATTTAAAAGTCAAAGATAGGAAGAAAATATTTGTAAAATAAATGGCTGGCAAATTAGTATTTAAAATATAAGGAATGCCTAAAACGAAAAAGATAACTGAATAGGAGAATGGACAGGGGATATAAGTGGACTATTCACAGAAGAATAAGTATAACTGACCAGTGAACATATGAAAAGATGCTCAAAGTCAACAATAATCATAAGAATGCCAACTAAAATAATGAGTACCAGTTTTACCGATTGGATTGAGATTACCAAATGTTAACAAGGATGTGCTTGAAAATAATTGCCTTTTGGAGGGCAATTTGGCAAGGTATTGAATTATTAAATTTTATCTTTCAACCCAGTGACTCTACTTCTTAAATTTACCATAAAGAAGCACCCCATATATATGCACAAGAAAACAAGCATGTACAAGAATGTTTATTGCTATATTTTTTATAATGTTGAAATGTCAGAAATGACCCAAATATTCATCAGTAGGAATTAAATACGATGGAGATCTGTGTGTACTGACACAAATATTTCCAAGAAATAGTGTGAAGTGAGGAAAAAAAGCAATAAATATATTTTTATACCATTTTTATATTTAAAAAGTATTTATTATGATATATTTCTATAGATTTAAATGTATGTTATCACATAGAAGAAAAGTTTAAAAGAATACATATAAACTGAATAGTGATTACTTTTTAGGAAAGTTTTGGAGGATATCAAAGGAACTTTAACTTGCTTTTCTTTTTTTCTCTTTTTAAAATTTGAATCTATTTATGAATTGCTTATTTAATTGTAAATATTCTCTCTTAATTTCTGTGGACTTCTGTTACCCTAGCTAACTCTAGTCTCTCCCAATTCCTAATAAAATTAAGCTTCCCTTAACTATATATAGAAGTCTCATCAGTTGGAAAGGACAAAGATTAAAAGGAGTACTTAGTTGTATTAAAGGGAATTATTAAAGAATATTATGAAATTATCAGAGTGGTATTTTGGCTGGTAAAACTGAGCCATAAACCAGTTTACTAATTATAATACTGGTGTATGTACTTGGGTTTCAAAATGTATTCTAAATACTGAATTTTCAGATTTTCTGAATTACAAGTTTTTTTGTATTCTAACAGCTCGACACTTCATGCACCAGATCATCACAGGAATGTTGTATCTCCATTCTCATGGTATATTACACCGGGACCTCACACTTTCTAACCTCTTACTTACACGCAATATGAACATCAAGATTGCCGATTTCGGGCTGGCAACTCAGTTGAAAATGCCACATGAGAAGCACTATACTTTATGTGGAACTCCTAATTACATTTCTCCAGAAATTGCAACTCGAAGTGCACATGGACTTGAATCTGATATTTGGTCCTTGGGCTGTATGTTTTATACCCTGCTAATTGGGAGACCACCTTTTGACACCGACACAGTCAAGAACACATTAAATAAAGTAGTATTGGCAGATTATGAAATGCCAACTTTTTTGTCAAGAGAGGCCAAGGACCTTATTCACCAGTTACTTCGTAGAAATCCAGCAGATCGTTTAAGTCTGTCTTCAGTATTAGACCATCCTTTTATGTCCCGAAATGCTTCAACAAAAAGTAAAGATTCAGGAACTGTAGAAGACTCAATTGATAGTGGACATGCCACGATTTCTACTGCGATCACGGCTTCTTCCAGTACCAGTATAAGTGGTAGTTTATTTGACAGAAGACGACTTTTGATTGATCAGCCACTCCCAAATAAAATGACTGTATTTCCAAAGAATAAAAATTCAAGTGATTTTTCTCCTTCAGGAGATGGAAGCAGCTTTTATAATCAGTGGGGAAATCAAGAACAAGAAACCAGTAATAGTGGAAGGGGAAGAGTAATCCAAGAGGCAGAAGAGAGGCCGCATTCTCGATACCTTCGTAGAGCCCATTCGTCTGATAGATCTGGTCAGTCTCGAGCAAAAACGTATACAGTGGAACGATGTCACTCAGCGGATATGCTTTCAAAATCCAAAAGATCAAAAGTAGATGAAAATGAAGAAAGATACTTACCCACAAACAGCAATGCTAATATTTTTCACTTCTTTAAAGAAAAGACATCCAATAGTTCTGGATCTTTTGAAAGACCTGATAACAATCAAGCACTGTAAGGATAATTCTATCAAAAGCATTTTACTTTTCCATAAAGATGTTATTAGCACAAACATGAAGCTGCATCTATTTAATTAAGGGGGGAGGTGTTACCTTTTTTCTGACAATGTCAGATGTTCTGGAGGCAATTCTTAACTATGATTTTTGTTTCTTAATAGGGAAAGAATCAGAATGATGATTTTGAATTATGGTTAAGAATCTCTTAAAATGTGTGTGTGCTCATGAAAGTATTTATAAATATATGTTTAATACTTGGGAATTTTTTAATGTCGTCATATGAAGTAGGTCTCCAGTGTAATCATATATTAAACATGTTTGATCCCTAAAGTACTCTAATAGTAACTATGCTCACACGCACACAGAGAAAGAGAAACTGAGCCTAAGTGATGAGTAATCATATTGACTGCTTCTCACACGAAGGCTAGTTTTTTTAGTGACTTATTTTTTTTCTTTTTTGATCTTTGATTTTTATGCTTAAATTACAAGAGGACAGTAGCCATATAGAAACATTATCACAGTGTCATGGGCATCTTGGCATGAGAATTTAGCTTCTCAGAGACAATTCAGTTATGTAAATATTGGGTTCTTAAGTTAATCTAAAATTTTTTAGGTATTAGAAGAGATCTCCCTTTTTAAGTATTCTTATCTTACAAAGTTATTACCTGATAAATTTTTTTTTTAGTTCATGAGATTTTTTTTTCTTTGTTTAGCTCCAGTCATCTTTGTCCAGAAAAAACTCCTTTTCCATTTCCAGACCAGACAGCTCAGACTGAAATGGTGCAACAATGGTTTGGGAATCTGCAAATAAATGGTGAGTTTTTAATGGACTATTTAATAAAAAATGAACGACTTGGACACTTACCAAGCACTGCAGTTTTCTTTTTGGCTTTTCTTAAGAAAATAATGCATTTTTAATAAACTATATTGCAGTTATAGTAATAATAACTGTTAACACATTTTGAGTACTACTATGTCAGCCACTGTCCTTAATGCTTAACATATACTATTAACTTACTAAATTCTCACAAAAACCATATGAGGAAGATATTATTGTTAATCCTGTCTTACAGATGAGGAAATTGTGGTGCATAAAGCTTAATCTCCCAAGCTACACTGTCCATAAATAGAAGAGACAGGAGTGTAACCCAAGCAATCTGGCTTTACTCTTAACCCTTCTGCTCTTGCAGCCTCTCTATAATAAGTACCTGCTATCAGTGCCTAAGAAATAATCAAGAGATGGTTGACTTTATTTTTAAGTAGAAGGTGATGTGAATGAACCTGATAATATACCAGTGGGACCTCACATACACTAAAGTACATAGCTACAAAACAAACATTTTTAAACAATTGTCATCTAAGTCATTATTTTATTTATAGATATAGAGTTTGAAAGTTAAACATTTCTCATTAATGAACATGATTCACAGAAGGTGAGTTGGAAAATAATGATGGGAAAAAGAGAGAATAAAAAAGAAACATATGGAAGACACATATGGAGAGGAGGTGATAATTTTTTACTAAGTATCACATTACCTCAGAGTACATATTATGGTTGTAATTTAAGAACACTTGTTATGCAACCTCAAGAGTCTGTTTTTTATGCGTATTATTTTCAAGAGCCCAAAAGAGAATTAATCTTCTCATATGTACTTGTTGAAAATTCAAGTTTCTGTTTTTTAAACTACGAACAGCCATGTTTAATCTTGCACTTAACCTTATATTGTGTTTATAGATACTTTTATTTAGTAACATGGACATGTCTGAAATAACCTCATTTATAACAATCTAGTAGTGCTGCTGCAATTTTAAAATATATTATTTGGTACAGGATATTTTTTGTCATAATGGGAATTGGGGGAATCACTTTAGTCATTTAAGGGAAAAACTGTGATACAGATTTTTTTAGAGTTTAGCATTAGAAAAATTGCCTTCCAAGTTTTATAGTCTAATCATTTTAAAGGCTTTAAAAAAATAATATTCCCACATGAACTCTAAAACTATATAAAATATAAATGGATAAAATTCAACAAGAGCTTTTTTAAAAATGTGGGTGCAAATACATTAATAATGTTAAATATTAGCACTATTAAAGCTATTTCATATATTTTGGTGTTTTTTGGTTTTAATTGCATATTTTATAAGTAAAGATGGAATAGTTCTTAGCTTAAAGAGAGCAAAATTTACACATCATATAGGATGATTACCTGGGAACTCCTCTCAAATCTGTATTTGTTGCAGCATTGGCAGTTGCTTGTTTAGTATTAGTAGGTGACCTAAGTCACTAGTTTGCTTTGATTGAAAAATTAATTTCATATTAATATCCTTTCTTTCTAGTCTTAGACTAAAGGTATTCCTTTGCAGCCTGGCTTAAAATGTCCTTTTAAAGTCACTGTTTTATTATGCCATATCTGAAACTGCCTGTTAAAAAAATTATGAGCTTTTTTTTTTTACTAGATTTCTTTTGTTCCTCAAAAAAAAAATGCTGTTGTAATGAGCATGGCATTGTTTTGTGTAGACTTGACTTTTTAATTATTCACTAAATTGCTTTATTCTATGTACATTACAGCTCATTTAAGAGAAACTACTGAGCATAAAAGCATTAGCCCAAACAGAGATTTCCAGGGCCATCCAGATTTGCAGGACACATCAAGAAATGCCTGGACTGATACAAGAGCCAAAAAGAGCCCTGATATTTCTGATAATGCACATTCTGCAAAACAGCTGAATACCATGAAATATATGACTGCATTTCACAGTAAACCTGAGATAATTCAACAAGAATCTATTTTTGGCTTAGATCCTTTTTCTGAGCAAAACAAGACTAGGGGCGTGGAGCCACCATCGGATTATCAGAAACATACATTACGAAGCATTACATCTCCTTTGACTGCTTACAGGTTAAAACCAATCAGACAGAAAACCAAAAAGGCTGTGGTATGTTGATTATTTTTCTAAATCACTATATTATATTTTCTTGAATATATGGTTTCTGCTATTAAACATGGTGTTTTTTCAGTTGCCCCTGTATTTTTGGTATGTATGTGATAAACTCCCTTAAAGAAAAGAGAGTGGGTGTTTATGGAAAAATAGCTCTTATTTCCTTCTGGGTACTTAAAGAATGGTGAATATGGTGAATTGATACTAAGTTTTGAATTTTAAATTATTGATAATGAAAAACATTTAAAAATAATACTGGCTAAATACTGTGTTAAATATTTTATTCACAATCCTAATAACTAAATTAATATTTAATACTAGCTTTTGCTTTTGTTTTTATTATTTCTACATTTAACCTAGTTTCAAATCAAAATGAAACTAGAAAATATAACTTCAACATCTGAAACTTTAAAAAAGGAGTATGCACAAAATTAAGTATAGGATTTTTTTTAATGTCGTGTGTGAAGTGGGAATGGTGATTTTAATTTTTTAATTGACTCTTTATCCTCTCTGTCCCTTGTTTCCCATTTCACCCAGTCTTGCTTTTGTTTGGCATGCTATTGTCTTTTCAAAGTCCTTATTCTCCACCCTACCTTCTGCTATCTTTCTGCTCATTGATTAACATTTCACACTTCATTATACCTTTTTACCGTTGCTCCTTAACACTTCACAGTTGTGGTCAGATACACCTCTGGTCTAGACTGTTGCAGTGGAGCAGCTTTTTGATTTTTACTTTAATTTTTGTTTCTGCCATGGTTAAGTACTTTTAACTAATATATATTTCAGAACTGTTCTGGTAAACAAGAGAGTTATTATTGATTTTAGGGGGTTTGTTTTGTTTTATAGGTGAGCATCCTTGATTCAGAGGAGGTATGTGTGGAGCTTCTAAAGGAGTATGCATCTCAAGAATATGTGAAAGAAGTTCTTCAAATATCTAGTGATGGAAATATGGTAATGTGAATTAACTTTATTATCTTGCAGCTTCATCACTTATGTACTTAGCATTCCATTCATTCTATAATAATATTCTTTAAAAAAAATCTTTTTAATCAGTTTTCCTGACATGATAGTGTCTCTGAATTTCAAAGCTAAAATAGCATACTGTACATATTTAAATAAATTAGCGTGGTTTAAAGAATGATTATAACTAGTAATAAAATCTAAATTTTAGGCTTAAGTTTAAAAAGCAAAAAAATTACTTTTAGAGAATATTTAGCATTTTCAGTAGAATAATATTTACTATCACATGAGAGCTCTTTTTATAATTTTAGTAACAAAATATAATGCTCAGACTTAATGGCATATAATTAAAATTCTTAAAAATTTTCTGGCAGATCACTATTTATTATCCAAATGATGGAAGAGGTTTTCCTCTTGCTGATAGACCGCCCTTACCTACTGACAACATCAGTAGGTACAGTTTTGACAATTTACCAGGTATGTAAATTTACCAAGGAATAAATTTAGATAATGGATATATATATACATAAACTCTATACATGTGGATAGCATAGATTGTAAATATCTTGGCTTCAGTCAGACTGCAGGTCCTGTTTTCATACTTTATATCCAGTGAGATGTACTGTACCTTACTAATCCAATGTTTGTTCATATTCTGTTGTTATAATGGCATTTGATTCTATTTATTTAGTTAGAAACTAACTCTGGAATATTAGTTATGTTACATATTAGTTACATGTACAAATATAATCTGTACACTAGTTATAGTTTGTCTAGAATCATGTTAAAAATTCAACGTGAACTAGTTTTTGACTTTTGGAAATATTACTGTGCTACGTAATGATTATTTATAATTGTGGTTAACCAAATTTGACTCCCAGTTCAGCTTCTGGATATTATGGATTGGGAAATTAAGTACTGAATAGTAAGACTTCACTGAGGTGAAAAGAGACAAATAAGAGAATCTATCTAATCTAACCATATTAGAAATTTAAACAGATAAGACTGTTAAATACTATAAATACCCATAGTTATAGGGAACTGCAAAAATTAATAATATAAAAAGAGCTGCAGTTCTTTTACTGAAAGTCATTTGGTTCTGATATCTCAGGTAGAACTCTTTTGATTTATTAAACTTTTCCTTGAATTATTATCTTACTTTTAATAAAGAGTGATTTTTTTAAATAATCGTGATACTAATCGTTAGATTTTGTTATATGCTTCTTGGAAATTTTATTATACTGTCTTTATTTTTCTTTAAAATAACGGACTTATATCTCTAAAATATTTTTATTTTGGTAATAGGATTATTAACCTATCAACTTGAATTTTTGAGGAAGAGTAAAAATAAATATTAAACTTTTATAGAATTTATGTCAAGCCAGTACTTTATTCCATAACATGAGGTAACTGTTTCCTTTTTTCTCCCTAGAAAAGTACTGGCGAAAATATCAATATGCTTCCAGATTTGTACAGCTTGTAAGATCTAAATCTCCCAAAATCACTTATTTCACAAGATATGCTAAATGTGTTTTGATGGAGAATTCCCCTGGTGCTGATTTTGAGGTTTGGTTTTACGATGGTAAGTACCATTTAGAAATGGCTAAGTTTTTCCCTTTAGTCTGTAACTTAGTAGTTGTGGGGGTTTTTTTTTAATTCAACACAGCGAGTTTTATATGTGTGCGCATGTGTGTGTGTATATGTGTATATATGTATATATATATATCTCCATTATATTTGTATTTCCATATGTAAATAATACAGCAGAGTATATTATATGTCAAATGTTAATCAAAATTTATTTATATATACTTTCTTATAAACAATTTATTGTCTAATATGTATATTAATTCTCTTTCCCCATTTGGCTCCAACTTAACAATATCAAGATTGATATAAAAACAACATGAAATAAACTATCCTGTTTCTTATTAGAAAGTTAAATGGACATATACCAAATTATGAGAATAATAAATGTTACAAAAGGATAAGGTTGAACCAGAGACTCTTATTTTTTAAATCTGTTCTATAGAGATGTTTACTTTTTAATCTATAAAGCTTCCTCCTTTAAGGGACATATAGCATGTACACTCACATAGTAGACATAATTATACCTGTCCTCCACTTACATTTTGTATGAGAGCAGTGATTTTTTTTTAAATATAAAAATATTAAACTTCATCCACATATATGCAGAAAAGAAAAATGGATGGCCTATATTTATTGAATACTACTTTGAGAGGTTCATTTTATTAATGGTCATTAAGTGAATATAAATAATACCTTGGAAGGTGCTCGGTCCTTCAGTAAGCTAAAGCTGTGTTGGGGTGAGACACTCACTTTATCTGGCGACTAGCACCATGCCTGGCAGCACCTGCCTAGAACTCTCCTGCACCATGGCCTCGGTCTCCGAGCTCACCTGCATCCACTTGGCCCTTTTCCTTAATGACAATGAGGTGACATTCACAGAGGATAAGATCAATGCCCTCATTAAAGCAGCCAGTGTAAATGCTGAACCTTTTGGCCAGGCTTGTTTGCAAAGGCTTTGGCCAGTTTCAATATCGGGAGCCTCATCTGCAATGTAAGGGCTGGTGGACCTGCCCCAGCAGCTGGTGCTGTACCAGGAAGAAGTCCAGCCCCTCCACCACTGCTGCCCTAGCTGAGGAGAAGAAAGTGGAAGCAAAGGAAGAATCTGAGGAGTCTGATGATGACATGGGCTTTGGTCTTTTTAACTAAACCTCTTTAGTAACAGATTGAATAAAAACCTGAGCTCTTTAAATAAATTAAATGAATACATAAATAATACCTCGATCTAGGAACCATTATGTATACTGTTGTATGATAATGAATATATAAATCTAGGAATATTTAAAGAAATGATAAAAGAGTTTTCTTATTTTTTAAGGAGCAAAGATACATAAAACAGAAGATTCAGTTCAGGTGATCGAAAAAACTGGGAAATCTTATACCTTAAAAGGTGAAAGTGAAGTTAATAGCTTAAAAGAGGAAATGAAAATGTATATGGACCATGCTAATGAGGTATGTACCTACTTGTAGTAGATTTTTCTTACCAATTAATAATATTACAAATGACAGGTGAAGTAATGACAGAAAGCACTCTTTTGAAATAGGGCCACCGTATTTGTTTAGCGTTGGAATGCATCATTTCAGAAGAGGAAAAGAAAAGTGGAAATGCTCCCTTTTTCCCAATAATCATAGGAAGGTAAACTTTTGAAAGTTTATTAAATATGGCTTAAATGTTCAGAAATGTTTTTAAAATTTAATATTTACATTATGAGCATTTTTTTGTTTTCTGTAAATTGACAGCTTTAAGAGAATGTATTTGGACATGTCTTTTCCCTTTAGAAAACCTAGTAGTACTAGTTCACCTAAGACTTTATCGCCTCCTCCTTCTGTGGATCCAAACTACCTGATGAGAGATACACCATCTTCAAATATAATCATTAAGAGTGCTGCTACTCTGAAACAGGCACCCATACTCAATCCTTCTGTAAGTGAATATATGTCACTTCTCTACTTTAAACTCTTCAATGATTGCCTGATGTTGATATAAAATTAAAACTCCTTACTGTGGCCTATCACCTACTTACTTTCCCAGCCTCATCCTGGGCTACTTTATCCCATACTCTCTGCTTGAGCCTTGGAAGCCTTCTTTTAGTTCCTTGATTAAGCCAAACTCTCAGGGCCTTTTCACATGCTATTCTTATGACCTGGAATTCTATTCCCAAACCCCTTAACAGCTAATTCTCATCCTTCGGGTCTCAGTTTAAATGTTACCTCAGCATGGCCTACCCTGACCCATCTGAGAAAAAGCTAAATATATTAACATATATATGTTTTCTTTTTAGTGGTAAAGTACCATTATCTGCCTTAAAATCCATGATAGAATCATGGTTAAATAAACTTATATTTTTACTCAATGAACTAACATGTCCATGAAGACTATATAGCAATGTAGTAAAATGCAACATTAAAAAATATATCTCTATGTGTATATATGTATATGTGTACTCACACACACAAACATACAAACTAATTGCAGCTATGAAAAAAGTATACCTTGGGGAAAAAAGACAAAAGAAATCTACCAAAACAAAAACACTAACTTTCTGATTTTTGTTTCTGTTCTGTATTTTTCTAATTTTCTATAATATGATTATTTTTTAATATTGTTTTTAAAAAATTAATTTAAGCTAATGAAAATCCACTCATTTTCTACTTTGGCTGGAGTTGGCTTATTAGAATGCTGTGGAATAATATCTTCCTATCTTTTACTGTTTGTAGATGGTTACAAATGAAGGACTTGGCCTTACAGGTGCAGCTTCTGGAACAAACATCTCTTCTAGTAGTCTAAAAGATTGTCTCCCTAAATCAGCACAACTTTTGAAGTCTGTTTTTGTGAAAAACGTTGGTTGGGCTACACAGGTGAGAAATTTTTAGGAAAGTGAATTTTCTCAGTACAAAGTAGTTTCCACAGTGATTAGACAATTACCAAAAAATATAATTATTTTAAAATTTCTCTTTGCAAGAAAGTTTTTATATGTTTTTTGCGTTGGTTACATCATTAATAATTTTAACATATTTTTATTTGTATACAGTTGGAAAACTCTTGATACTGTTGGTAATAGATTCCCTGCTAGGGCCTGGGTGACCTGTTTTTGCCATTTTGTTTTTAAAGTAGAGGTCATGGTAATGGCTAATTGTTAATGAGCTGAGAATGTACAGGGCATTTTACAAGTTTTAGAAACTATTTGTAATCTATATTACTAGAGTAACTTTGATTAGGCAGAAAAGAATTTTTGCATTTAAAAATTAAGTTTACATTGTTTTAAGCTTTTACATTGTTTTACATTTTTACATTGTTTCAGAATTTTATGTAGGTGTAAACTTATTTGTATATTATCTGAAAGCTTGACTCTTACAGACTTTTGAGCATAGGACATGTAATTTTTACTTACAGTGAAGTAAAATACAGTCTAGTCATTTATGAGGGTAGGAAATAAAGGGAAGGGAACTCAACATTTGTTGAGTACCTGCTATGTGGTACTATGTTTTCCACATATATTGTCTCATTTCCCAAAATAAATGTTGATTTATCTTTTTTTATAGATAGTAAAATTATGGTTCATAATGGATGGTTGACTTACATATTCCTATTCATTAGTTGCCAGAGTCTGGATGTAAACCCAGGTCTATTTGATTCTGATATCTGTGTCTTCTCTGTACTGTGTTTGGAGTGGCACATTGTATATATTAGAGACTTGAGGAACAAATTTCCAAAGCAAAGATCTGACAACTCAGGCAGAATAGAAAATCTTATGGCCTAAGAATAAAGAATAGAGAATAGAGTGAAATTCTAATTTAATAAAACATTGGTTGGTTATTTCCTAAATCTCTTCTTGGTTGGTTATACTTTGGTGGAGGGTGGGAGGAAACCTGATTAAATATCCTAGTGGGACAGAATGGGAAATGGGATTTATTTAGAATAATTTTTATATTATGATGCCCTATTAAAGGAATAATCTGAAAAGACATGAATATTCTCAGTGTTACTACCATCACAGCCCCAAATTTGTAGTTACCTGAAAGGGTTTTGTTTTTTTTTTACTATATGAAAAACCTTTTAAACATAAATACCTTTTAAGAACTTCATATCCTCAACTGTATAGTAATTATGATGCTTATTATTTTTCTAGTTAACTAGTGGAGCTGTGTGGGTTCAGTTTAATGATGGGTCCCAGTTGGTCGTGCAGGCAGGAGTGTCTTCTATTAGTTATACATCACCAAATGGTCAGACAACTAGGTAAGTTCTTAAAATACTGGTTGATGTTCAGCTCTTTGCTATAATTTTGTTTTCTGTCTGTTGAAATAAATGACCTAATAAAGTTACTGTTTTCATGTTGACAAAGTTAATACTATTATTTAAATTGTTAAATATTCCTAGTAGTGCATATCATCTTTTTAACATATTTTATAAGTATCTACATGAATGCAGGGTAATTGGTATGGATAATCCACTCCAAATGGTTAGATTCTTTTAGCATTAGTATTCCTTTAGTCTAACTAGGTTGGCCCTTTCAGTAGGTAATGAACTTCCAAGTTCAAAGTAAAGAGAACATAGAAACAGGGAATCTTTCTTTTAATAGATAACCAGATGATTTTTCCCAAATGAAAAGCTATATCCCCTGATCTAATATAAAGTGATTAATGTTTAAAAGACTTCTGAATGTACACATTCATTCTGAATGAGGATGTATGCCAGGCTAATTAATTTGCTAGCAATGAGGAATCTGGCAATAGCAAGAATAAGCAGTAGTTTGGTTTCCACATTTCAAACCATAACTTCCTGAAAAAGAGGAAGGGTGCTGATAATGCCAATACAAACATGCTACTTTATGATAAGTGCTTTTAGTAGAGAAAATACTTGGGCCAAATATAATTTGTGGTTATCTACCAACTGCTTTGGTGTGTATATATGTAGTGCCATCATTTAAAGAACTCATAAAGTGAGGTTTTGTTAAATCAGCTCTTTCAGACGCTCTAGAAAGTAGAAAGATATATATATAAAATGGGTAGAACCCAGGTTCAGGAGATAAAAGTTCAGATTTCACTTGATATGGTTTTTTGGAAATTGTTAACATTTAGTAGAAATGTATTTATAATGTGTTTAGCTTAGTTTTTTTTTAAATTAGGGCCTTCAATTTAATGAGGAATCCAGATTTTCAGCCTGCTTTAGAAATTATAAAGTCAGTTCAAATTTTTTAATCTGATTTTCTTTTTATTATTTAATACATTTAGAAATTGATCTATTTTAAAAGGAAACAAATTGAGCATGCTTAACTTGATTTCACTATCTAATAAATAATTTTGTATAATCTTTCTGAGGTGCCTTTTGCCATTGAAGAATTACTAAAAAATATAACTTTCCTTTTGGTACTCATACAAACCAGGTGACAAAGTTATGATTTTATCTTTTTTTTTGTTTGCTTCATTTAGGTATGGAGAAAATGAAAAATTACCAGAATACATCAAACAGAAATTACAGTGTCTCTCATCCATCCTTTTGATGTTTTCTAATCCAGCTCCTAGTTTTCATTGATTAAAGCTCCTTCTAGATATATAAGTTTAATAAATAACATTTTTGTTGGCTTTCAAGTAAAGTGACTTCTTTTTATTTTAAAAAATTTCTTTAGAAAGCCTTTCCATAAAAGATAATTTTAATCTATATCATATAGATGTATTCTAATGAGAGAACAAAGCAGGAAAAACTTGAGTCACTTAAAAAATGTAGTAGTTATAAGTTAAAATAGGACACCTAACTTTGCTCTTAGAACATATACTCTCAAAATTACTGTGCTCATATATCTGTATTGAATAACCTTTTAAAGCAAAAGTAGAAATAGTTTGTGGTATGTTTTTGCTTTTTTGTTTTCCCTACTTCCTAGACATGTTAAGAATCATGGACAAAACATGCTGGAGTTTTTGAATTTTGAACGTGTAAATGATGTATATTTATGTTATAAGTAACATATGTAAACGTGTATATATGTTTTATATTTATTTTTGTAGCACCAGTTTCTGATGAAACATTTCTGCAAATGCATTTTATAAAAAATAATAAATACAGTGATAAGTTACTTTATCTTTTGATTTATTTAATTAAATACTTAATTTAAAATAAGTTACTCAGTAAACTCATGTTTAAATCTTGCCTGTTTAAAAGGATCCAATTAAATTTTAAAAATTAATTTTGCAAATGGTAAATACATTGGTTCTCTACCTTTATCTGAAAATACTTTTATATTTTAATGATGATAAACATTTTAACACTGAAGAACTTAACAATGCAATTAATTAACATGAGGAAAAAGAATATTTGATAGTGGGACAGCCATTGTTAATGAAATACTCAACATAAAATGGAGAATGAAACTACTTAAATATGATAAACTGTTAAGTCTAATGCTTCCTCTGATTTTTATAATAAGACAAATATTGGAGCCAATTCCATTAAATAGTCAGGAAATACCCAATGTCATAATTATTCAACATTGTTTTGGACGTTTTTGCCTAAGGCAGTGAGAAGAAAAATAATAATCTGTAACAAATTCTACAGTTAACATTAATAAGAAAAAGACAAACAACCCATTAGAAAAATGGACAAAAGATTTGAACAAATAATTCACAAAGGAGAAAGTCCATATGATCAACCAAAAGAAAATATGCTCAACCATATTTATAGTTGGAGAAATGCAAAATAAAAACAAAATCATTTCCCTTTATCAAAGAGATTGGAAAAAATAATAGTGCTAAGAAGAGCAAGGCATTCTCAGTTATTATTGATTAGAGTGTAAATGATAAAGCAATTTGGCAATATCTATTAGAATTAACACATTTTAATACACTGGTAATCCAACTTTGGCAAAGAAAATTATGTAAACCCTTCTCTTATGGATACAAATAGGATTAGAAATAAGAATTTCCCCTTAAAAATGGAAATCATTAACGGAACTCCTAGCTAAATGTTGAAGGTTAAGACAAATACATTTTGCTTTGACACAATTTAGGTGTATTTTTCATCATCTTTTTCAGTCTTAATGTGTCTTTATGCTTCAGGAGCTTCTCACACATACCATATAGCTGAATTTTTTTAATCCAATGTAATTTCCTCTGTAGTTTACTTTGTTGACATTTATTATCATTTCTGATTTATTTTACTATGTCATTACAGTTCTGTTGCATTTATGTCCCAGCTTATTCTGTACTTTATACTTACCACATTTGGTTTTTTCCTTTCCTCCCTTCTTTCAAATTGAGTTTCCTCTTCATATACATGTGTGAGTTTTCTTTCAGAAGATGTTTCTTGAATTATACTTTTTAGAATTTGTTCTGTTTTATTGCTTTGGTTGTCTTCTTTAAGGGCTTCTACAATATGTATGTTAAATCATCTGTGCCTAATTTTTGTATCCATCACTTTTTCCAAATCATTTTTATCTGTTTCTGTTATTTTAATTTTCCTCCATCTTCAATCTCCCTTATGAAGTAGTCTGTGGCACCTTATAAGTTTCTTATTCTTTCCTGAACTCTGCCAGCAGTATTTTCATATCTTCCTATTATTTCTCCATTTCAGAAAATTTTTTGCACTTTTCAGTTTTTCAAATTATAATTTGTCATTTTTTTCAATTTTCCATGACTTAAAATGATTTCTTTCAGTTCATTTTATAATGACATTCCAGTTTTATCTGTCTTGTGGGCATATCTGGCATTCCTTTGTTGTCTATAAGAACGTTATTTAGTTCAACTGCACTCTTCCTTTTTCTGCTCAGTATTTAATCCAGTAAATGGCATCTGCATTACTTGCTGCTGTCAGAATCCTGGAAATCATTCTTAACATATTCATTTACCTCATCTAATCACCAACTTATCCTTCCAGGCTACCTCTAAAATGTGTTTTATATGCTTTTAATTCCCAATTTCACTGCCCCAATCCAAGTCACTAGCATACCTCATCTGAACTAGTGCAATAACCTGCTTGTCTCCAAGCATCTACTCTTTCCTCCTTTATCAGTCATGGTTTGTAGTTGCAAACATCAGAATCTAACCTAGGTAGTTTATGCTGAGAATGTATTTATTAAAGGATATTAGCTCATAGACTCTAGGAGGGATAGAGATTCAGACTTTGCAGCTAGGAACAATGGCTGGATCACAATGCAGAAGCTGCCCCAGAAAAGACACCCTACCAACCCTGGCTCAGCACAGATCCCACATCCATGCTGATGAAGCTATGGGACTAGGTTCCAGGAGCTGTGCCACTGCTTTCTCCAAAATTTAAGCCACTGACCTTGCTCCCTCGCCAAAATCAATTTTGCTCATGTTGCTCACTTTTGCTCCACTCCTTAGCAAGTCTCACACTGGAGGCAGGTACTGGCATAGCCAGAAACACAAATTCATGCCCTGGCAACAAGGGTAGATGAGAGAGAGAGAGTGAATGCATTTTGGCTTCTATCTAAGAGGAGAAGGTCAACATGAGAAGGTCTCAAATGTGGAAGGGTCTTTGGGAAGAGTGGCTACAAACATGATAAATGTCCTCCACATCCATTCCAATTTATACTTCACACTGCGGCCAGCTTATTCTAAAAGACAAAGCTGATTATATTATTAACTTACTTTAAATTAATTGTGGAAATTTAAAAACACAAAAAAGTACAGATATAACAATGTAAGGAGCCTCCACATAGCTCCCACTCAACTTCAGCAAATATTTTGCCAATCTTGTTTCATCTATCCTACTGACATCCTTCCCCCACTGGAGTATTTTGAGGCAAATCCCAGATATCATATAATTTCTATCATAAATTCTTTAATATCTTTAACAGATAAAGACCTAAAAAAGTATAACTATAACACATCTCAGAATTAACAATTCCTTAATATCATCTAATGTTGTCTAGTTTCAAATTTCTCCAATTGCCTCAAAAGTATTCTTACATTTGACTTAAAACAAGATCAAAAATAAGATCTCTATAATGCATTTGATTTACGTATCTCTGAAGTTTCTTTTCACCTATGACTTCTGATCTCTCAACTTTTATTTTTTCTATGCCAATTTTTTGTTTAACTTTAAGAAACTGAACCATTTGTCTATAGAATGTATCACCTTCTGGGCTTAGATGATTACTTACTAGTGGTGGCATTTATCTTTTGTATTTCCTGTAAACTGATAGTTCACATCTATAGGCTTGATTAGATTCTGGTTCTTTTTTTTTTTTTTTTTTCTGGCAGGAACACTTTGATAGGCCATACTGAGTACTTCCTGCTGCATCAAATCAGGAGGCACATACCACTTACCCATTTTTAATGATGTTAAGAATGAACAGTGGGTTCAAGTGTTGTTAACCTCATCCATTCTTTAGAAAGTTCCTCATTAATCTTCCACTTAGTGTTTTTGCCATTCACTGACGATTCTTGTCCCTATCTTTTATTTCCCTAACGGTTGCTAAATGGGAATTTTTCTAATTCTATTAATCCTTTTGTATTTAGTAGTTTGGATTATGCTATAGAAAATAACTTTACCTCATCAATATTTGACTACCCTGAAATTTAGATAGGCAGAAGAGATGCTTGAGTCTTTATTTTCTGGTTTTTAATGGGTTTTTCTTGTGGGGTAGGGGGAGGTAATTAGGTTTGTTTGTTTAATGAGGGTAATGGGGATTGAACCCAGGACCTCATGCATGCTAAGCACGCACACTACCATAGCTACTGAGCTATATACCCTTCCTCCTTATTTTCTGTTTTTTAGAATAAAGAGCTAAAACCCTAGCAACCTCCAAAGGTGGCCAGTGATCTTATTTTTAGTATCATTTTGAACTCATAGATTTTCCACACAGTTGATGTGTTTAAATCAACTGCAGATATTCTTTTCAGTGCTTTAATTGCCCCATCTTTGGCTACTAGAAGTCCCTTTATTTGACTCCTGTGTCCCTTTGGCAAGACTTTTGAAGTCTTTAATAAACTCCCTTGCTTTCTGGCACTAGATGTAGGCTCGTTTTGCCCCACACCTGGAATCAGCCACTTCTACAAGGAGCCCAGGTTTCTTTTTAGAGTCCAAATTACCTTAAATGCTTTCCTATTTCTCTTAAATAAAGTCCAAAATACTTAAGTGCTTATAGTAACATTCTTCCTAACATTGGTATATCACAAATGGGTTACATTTGTAAATGGAAAATTGATCCATTTAATGCTCCAAGATCACTGGTAGGGACTGTGGGTTGACTGAAAAAGCTGGGTATAAGTAGCTTTATCCATTTTCCACAATATTTTCTATGATTATGATCATGTGAAAACAGTTGAGAGGTGTAGGGTACAGCGGATAAGTATCTATGTCAACTCAGGAAACCTGCCTTTGGTGGAACCTGCTTTTCTCCACCCAGTTATAAAACTATTTACTCTATGTAACTGAGATGATTCTGACAGAGTTCTTCCCTCACACAACTATATTCCCAGAATAGATATGTGATCCACGCCTGGATCCATCCCCTGCCCACCTGGTAGACTCCGGGATGGGTATGTACGCTAAACTTGGCTACTTGGAGCCTTTTGGAGCCTTTTCTGATACTTCTGCTTGAGCCATTCTTCCCCAGAACTGTGAGCTATAAAGGTATTGCGAGCTTGAGGCTGTCAGCGGCCATCTTGTCACAAAATGAAGAGTGCCTAAAAATAAAGTCAAACAGAGGTATGTTGAACTAAAAGAAAAAACCAGTCCTGATGACATTATCTGGATTCCTAGCTCCAACCATGCATAGAGTTAGAATACCTAACTCTTACTTGCCACCAGAGGAGTCCTAATGCTTGAAGCCTAAAGGTCTTGAACTGTCTCTCCATAGCCTCAACTAACAGAACTTTTTCTCAATCACTATACTCCAGCCACCCTGGACCTATTTTTAGTTCTGGGAAAGCCCCATCATCTTCCCACCTCCAGGGCTTTGCACACATCATGCCTTCTACCTGAAATGCACTTGTCCCACTCCACCAATCTGAACCATTCTCTTCCACCAGGCCTTAGTTAAATCATTACTTTCTTAGAAAAATATTCCCTGACTTTCCCATTCAGCTACATCGCCTTCATTACTCCCTACACTTCTCTTTCATCGCCCTTCCCTTGAGCATTATCGTCTGTGTTATCATTTGACTAATGTCTCACTTTCCTGCCAAAATGTAAGTCTAATGAGGGCAGGGGCTTTGTGTATTGTGTTTACTGTTCCGCTCCCCGCAGTGGCATGGTTATTGGTGCATACTTGGGCCCCTTGAATATATATTTAAAGGATAAATATGAATAAGTAAACTTTTAAGGCTTTAGGAACAAATATATAATAATCTTGTTTATTAGAAAATATACAATCACAATGTAAGATACATTCAATTACAAATAAGTCTGGAATAGTTAAAATGGTACCCCAAATAAGTTAATGTATTCTTAATGATGCATCTCAACAGATGCAGATAAGTAGTATATCTCCTCCAAAACAAAAAATAACATACAGATATACTTCACTCCTCCAATTCACTGCAAGAGAACTGGAGTTTATTTTTCAATGTAGCCAGGCTTAACAAGGTCACATAGAAACACTTTATGAAGTTATAAATCCCTTCAACTATGAAAATCATTTTTTCTTATCAAGTATAAGTTTAGATTTTTAAAAACATGTCTTTTCTTAATAGTAATTTTTAGAAGTTTTTTTATACTTAAGGTCTCCTATCATCTTTTTCAACTTATACTCAACTTGTCAACTCAAGATCTCAACCAGGTGATTTTTCTCCTCAAACTTTACCTCACTGCTCTCTCCTCCACCCCATGTCACTTCCTTTGTGCCAAGATGTATGTTGGTGTAATCCTCTGGAGAAGAAAGTATTCTCAATAAAAAGGAAGGTGGCAGTCATTTTTGCAAGGTTACAGTTTATCTAAATTTTATAAAATTTTATAAATCTTCAGAAGTTGGGAAACTTCTCTCTGTCATATTCTTGCATGGAAACAGTCTAACTATTAAGCTAAGATAAATGCCCCAGTCAATAAGCTTCAAATTATGTATCTCAAATATTTCTGCTAATTGGAGTCACTGGTATAAGTAACTTTAAATTTACCCTACAGTTAGCAATTAATTCACTGCTCCTGCAACTTGATGGGCTAATTCATCACTATGAAAAAAAACAGTAGTTAAGAATGTAGACTTTGTGGGAAGGATATAGCTCAAGTGGTAGAGTGCATGCTTAGCACACACAAGGTCCTGGGTGCAATCCCCAGTACCTCCTCTAAAAATAAATAAATAAATAAATCTAATTACCTCACCCAACCCCCCCCCAAAAAGAATGTAGACTTTGAAGATAGACTGTTACTGAGACAAGTACCTTAATTTCTCTATGCCTCTGTTCCTTCATCTGTAAAACATCTTCACTCTATAAGACTGCTATGAGAATTAAACAGTACATTGCACATTACCTGGAATATGGAAAGAGCTCTCTAATATGGTAATCATTTTGCAATATATAAGTGTATGAAATCAACATGTTGTACACCATAAATTTATCCAATGTTATATGTCAATTATATCTCCATAGAGCTGGAAAAACAAATAAACAAAAAGACACAGAGAATAAATAACCATCTACAAGCCAAGGAGAGAGGCCTCAAACAAAACCAACCTTGCTGACACCTTGATCTCATACTTCTAGCCTCCAGAACTGTAATAAATTTCTGATATTCAAGCTACCCCCCAACAAAAAAAAGTACAGCAAACTTAGTATAAAGTGCAGATTATAGTGTTTACTCTCAGATTTGAAAATATGTATATCTTACAGTAGGAAACATTTAGAAAAGTATTTAGAAATATTTTTACATTTTGGGGTAATATTGATTATCCATATAAATAGTTCTGTACTAGTCTCTATTAGCAGCATTCAGCTTACGCAGAGGTAGAAATGTATACATAGAAAGTGTGATTTAGCCAACTTCTAGTAAACTCAGTAAACTATTAGATTAAAGCCATTTTATCTCAAATACTGATTAGACAGGGACTGTCATGGCCTGCAGTTCTGAGTAGCTATGCTGACACAGATTGAAAACTGTTGTGTCTTCCCAGTACCGAGAGATAGAAAAAGTAAATAAATAACGGTTTTTCTCTAGAATTTAAGGGAATTGAAAAATGCCAATAATTTTAACAGTTTTCTGTTCAACATATGTATACAATAGCACATACCTGGCTTATGTTTCTAAAGTGAATTATTTATTAGGACTTGAAAGAAAAAAAGTAAGTTATCCCTACCTAAGGTAGTGAAATCCGTCCTGATCTCTTAATCCGCTTTATTGCTCATTTATGAACATTACTCACACTCATCCATTAATTTAGGGGTTACTCAATGAGATCCTGAACTAAAAGAAGACAGTAAGTGTAGTATTAAAACTAATGACTTATAGAAGTCAAGGCAGGATGGCAGGAATGGTAAGTGGAAAATATAAGAGTCATAAATTTGCTTCATAAGGAAAACTTGATAATAACAAAATGCATTTTTAAATTAACAAAAAGGAGGTACATTTGAATAAAAGTACCTCTATTTAGGTAAACAATTTCTATAATTTCATTCTATTACAGGTAATTCATACAGAACTGTCCTTATGGTTTTACTGCATAGACGGTCTCTCATTATTTTAATGACACCTCTGCAGTTTGAATTAAGACTACAACCTCACATTCGTAGACCATTGTCTATTCACTCATGAGTTCATGCCACCCAAAGAAAATGTTATATGAAGACTATTTCTTTTTTGAGATAAGAAAACTATGATCCAGAATTTTTACATTATCTTGCTATTCACAATTAAGCACAGAATGCCCTGTGTTATTCAACATATTTTCTGGTTATTCAAAATATATAATATCTGCAACCTGACTTTAGGAAACTGACTCATAGCAATTGTCTAGCTGAGCCTTAGAAGAGAAAGTTTCACACAGCAAGTACATTCCATCCTAGTCTCAGCTAGGTTACTCTTGACTCCTTCCATGCCGTATGGAATATGCGATGAGTCTTTTGTAAACCACACCCAGGAGTGTGATGGTAAGCACCACCATTCCACACACAAGGCTGAAGGCCCACCGTGGGCCCCAGGAAGTGTACACTTGGCTGATGAACACGGGTCCAAGAATCCGTGCTGCACTTCCAGAAGCTGTTAACCAGCCCATGTACACACCCTGTGAGGGGAGAAGCAGATTGATACTTAGGTGTAGTTATTTTTAAAACAAGGATGATGCTCCTATTAGCAAACTATGACAAATTCACAAGAATCGCTTTCTCCATCTGTTATTTTTAAATTAAATATAGAGTGCCTCTCTATAAATATAGCAAATAATGAACAATAAACTTATTTGATAATTCTCAGGTTAGGAATAATAAAAGTAGCGTAAAAGGACAAACATTGTCTGCTGAAGTCCTGGAAACAGTATAATTTATTAATTTACCTTTTAGGGCTAACATTTATTTTCTATTTGTTATCTTCCAGATACTGTGTTAGATGCTTTCCGATATATTATTTCCAACGTTCACAAATTTCTATGATTGGTGTTATCCCCATTTAACAAATGAGGAACTAAAGCTCAGAAAATTCAAGTAACTTATCCAAGAGATTTGAAGCCTTATTTGGCTGAATTTCCACTATACCATAATGTCACTGTTCCAACTACTGTATCCAAAACTATAGCTGATACAATCTACCCAGGAATGTGCAGTGCAGCATTACTTTTAATATCCCCCAACTGAAAACAACCTAACTGTCTGCCAATGGTGGATTAACTAAATAAATTCTGGTACACTTAATAAATGGAATGCTAAGCAGTTGCTTAAAAAGAATAAGGTCTTATACAGAATAAGATCTTATAACAAGAATAACATCTATACGCGTTGACATGGAAAGAAGGCTATGGTATATATTAAGCAAACAAACAAACAAACAAATCCAGGATGCAGAAAATAGTTTATGTATATGAGATGTAATCCATTTTACCTTTTTTAAAAAAGGCATGAGTGTGGATATGTTTGAAAAGGCATAAAAAATGTCTTGAAGGGTACAAATGAAGTAGACAGTGGTTGATTTTAGGATGAAGGTAAGGGGAGCCTTCCTTTTCTGCTATATATACTTCAAATTACTTGAATTACAACCATCATATATTGTTTTTGAAATTAATATGCTTTTATTCTTGATTTTGAAAATCTGAAAACATAACCTTAAAGATTAAGAAACTCAGAAATTACCAAAATGTTTTGCCTATTCTTATAGCTTAAAAACACTGGTATTAGATTTTTTTCTCTTTGCTTTATTTCAACACAGAAACACTAATTCCTACCCTGAAAATATAAAACTATCAGTTTAATTTTTATAAAGAGGAAGATAAATGGAATTTATCTATTTTTATGTTGTTGCCTTTTAAATAACTGGTACTAAAAAGACAAGTCAGAAGTATAGCCTAGAAATAATGTAAATGTACAATAACAGGAACATGACTGAATAAATGATGGTATATACATAGATGAAATGTGACTCCATTAAAAATAATTCTCTAAAAGAAAATGAAATGTCATGGGAGAATACTTATAGTATATTGTTATTTTTTTAAAAAGCAGATTATAAAATAGTATGAATGATATAATCCTATTTTTGTGTTAGACATACATACACATACATAAAAGACTGGAAGTAGAAATATATTTCACCAGAACATTGGTAGTAATTGATATTTTTCTCCATTTTGCTTCTATACTTTTTCTAAATTTTACTTAATGAATATGAAAATTCTTATAATAAAAACTAACTTTAAAATACACATAAGTGCAATGCATTTTTCACACCATTGTGTTTCCATCTCTTAATAACTGTCTTCAGGGCCAGATGAAGTTAAGTCTAGATCCAAATCTGCGTATCAGTTTTGGTTTGTTAACTGTTGCCTACTTTAAGAACGAGTTTCTATAATTTGTGCTTGAACTCATAGTCTGAGTTCAAAACACCTTTGAGTTCTAATGTAAAGTACTTTTTGTTAAATTTCAGCATACAAATTCTGTAAGCATTTTTGGTGGTGGAAGGAGAGGTAATTAGGTTTGTTTGTTTGTTTGTTTATTTTAATAGAGGTACTGGGGATTGAACCCATGACCTGGTGTGTGACAAGTATGTACTCTAACACTGAGCTATACCATACCCCGTCAAATCCTATAAGTACTTTATAAAAGTTGTGGGGTTTTTAAATTTAAAATGCTGAGTATGATAAAAAATCCCCTAAATCAGCTTGTGTGAAAATAGAGAATGGTATTAATAAACATGAGTGCTTACAAGTTTTATCTTACACAATTGCAATGTCTGGGTAACTGACTCACCTGAGGTTTTGGTCCCAGAATTTTTGAATATAATGTATAGGACATAACATTGCAGGATGGATAGCCTATTCCAATTAGCACAGCTGATGTGAGGAACTGGGCCAGATGGATCATGGGGGTGTAGAGGCACCAGGCTTGTTCAATTGGGCAACCAGTTGGTCCTTCATTGTGATCTTCTCTTGGAGACTTCCAAAGAGTAATAATTATTTCCCCAAATGTGGTATTAGGGATTGAATTATTATGTAAATCTGTAAAAACAAAATCAGCACAGTGTATTACTTCTTAATTTTAGATGAATAACAGGGGCTAACATTATAGAATTATGTATGGCTATACCTTCCCACTGTATTTTGGGAAACTGATTTCCCCAAGGTAACAGGATGAAGAAGCCAGCCCATACAACGATGAGTCCTCCCAGCAGAATAGCACGCTCGCCAATCCTGTTAAAGAACAGAAACTCTGTAATTTAAAAATGAAACATTATAACACAGTTTAACTACTTTTAGAATTTTTAAAACTATAAATAAAATAATATCATGATGCTTTTAGTGATATACTAATTAATATGAATGTAAAATATAATTTCCCACTAAAAGGAACCAGGACTCCTTTAAAAACTGGCTGATTTCAGATCTGGGACAGAAAATGTGCAAGATGAGCCTGAATGTCTAATCATACCAGAAAGCACAGAAGCTATCAGTGACTACTAGATCATGGTAAAAAGACTCAGAGCCAACCTGATGAAGCTGGCCAAGAATTTGACAACGTGAACACCAAAAAGAATAGTAATGACAATGACTTGAAACACATAAAAATGTTATAATCTATAAATCCATACTATATTAAAATAAAATACTCAGTCCCTTTTAGAGGATGTTAGGGAAACAATTCATTATTTTAAAAATCAGTGAATAAAAGGAAAAAAATCACCCTGTGTCTCCTATAAAAAGTGAACCATCAGGATAACCAAATAGTTGGTGATGGGAAGGCTCTTTTTACTCAAAGTATTTCAACAAATAGATAAAGGAATGACAGAATTAAAATACCAGGATTTTGCAATGCTCTATTAACAAATTAACTGATTTGGGGAATGGTCAAAGGTCACCTACATCATAAAAAGAGATAAACATTTCACCTGATGTAAGCACATAACACCACTTATAAAACATTCTTGCCAAAAAACTGAACTCAAACTTCATCAAGCTTCTAGATCTAAGTGCCAATTTTCGAGAAATTCAGTAAGTACAGGAAAATATTAAACAAAGAAATATTAAACACCACAGGGATTTATTCAGCAAGATCCAAAATGTGGGAAACTATAGGTAAACATCGTGGTCGCTTCAATTTGTAAAGGAGAGAGAGAGAAAGAGATGGAAGAGATGGGAAAGAAACCCACAAATTAAAAGAGATTCAGGAAATATAAGAGCCTGAGTCAAGTGAGTACTGTGAAATAAAACAATATAAAACAAAAAAAATTTAAACAATTTGAGACAATGGAAAAATTTGAATACTCCCTGGATATTTGATGATATTTAGAAATCACTACTAATTTTTTAGATATGATAATGTTGTAATATAATGTGTTGTAATGTAATTGTAAACTTTTACAGATACATACTGAAATATTTATGACATGAAATGATGTCTAAAATCAGCTTCAGAATAATCCAGGTGTACGGGACGGGGAGTGTGGAGTAGGCGTAGATAGAAATGAATCAAGACTGTCCAAGGGTTTATAATGTTGAAGCTGGGTAACAGACATTAGAGATTCAGTACATGATTCTCTCTACACCTTTGTGTATGTTAGAAATTTTCCATAACAAAAAGTGAAATATACAAACAAGACCAAAGACTTCCTAAAACCCAACACTTCCATCAGCCTCAGAATACCTACAAAGCTTCCTATCTTTTCAACCTGATCTTCTCCCATTGCCATTTCTCTCACTCTGCTCCTGGCCTAAGTGGCTTTCCTGCTTGTCCCTTAAACTCAGTCTTCTGGAGGAAGAGAGTTCCAGGCCACTGCATGGCTAATTCTCTGACTTCACTGAGGTCTCTGCTTGAATGTAGCTTCTGTTTCAGCTGGCTTCCTGGAGCAATCAATCAAAATAATACGTCCCCTCTCTCCCATCCCTTCCCTTGTCCCTTTTTTGTTCTCTTCCTCTGGTCTAGTCTTCATAGTGCTTGTCATGACCTGATTTCACATTTGCATTTATTGGCTTTCCCCCTAGTAGAATACAAGCTCTCTGAATGTATGGAATTGGACAACTTGTAAGGACTCCTATCAGCAGGACCACTCCACTTCTGTAACAAGATGTAATGTATTTACTATTATTGAACTTTGAATATGAATCTATGTCTACGTCTCTATCTGTATCTTGGCCCGTCTACTTGGCACTGTAAGGACAGGAAACTTTGTAGTACTCCCACAGCACCTGGCCCTTAGCACTGATTCAATATTTGTTAATTGACTTTAGAACTTTATACAAAAGTTCTGCAATATTATAGAAATATTTTAGAAATAATTAAATAGTTAGAATTATCTAAATTCATCAACTAATGTCCCTCACTCAGACTATGTGGATGAACTAAATTTTATACAAGCATTTCCCTCATAGTGTGTTCTTTACAGTTGTACTTTTACGAAATGATTCTTGAGAAGAATCTCAAGATCAAAGTTACAATTAACTTTTAGAAATGCTACATACTCTATTTGTCATGCTGGTGATACAGTAAATATATACTGATGATTTAGAAGTTTTCGAGTAAAGAAGTCTGGTAATTTTAACAAGAATTTTCCAGACTTAATCATTAATGCTTTCCTGGTGCATAACATGTATTATCACACAGCAGGAAAATGTTTCATAAAATATAGAAATTATTTAAATAAAGCATAGTATACAAAAGACACATTAAAAGAGAATTACTCACTTTGTAAAATAACTCGCTTTACAAAAGACCTTACTCCATGGTATAGAAATAGGCTCCCTTAATAAATTTTAAATCTGTACATAATAAGAGAAAAGTTTTACAATATTTTATTAACACATTCATTTGCATTGTTAGCTCTGTTTTGTGTTTCACTTTTATAAAAAAGACTTGAAATAAAGCCAAAGACAAATGACTTACTTTTTGGAAAGTAATTTTACCCCCATGAAAATAATAACTGCCTCGACTCCAAGAGCAGCAAGGATTATTCCATCATACAATACAGCTTGTTCTCTGGTCCAGGCATACATGTCCATTGTTAATGGAGTAACGATCCTAAGAAAAACAAATAAATTATTTTTATTTTGTTTAAATCATAGTCATTGTTACCTAAAGGTGAAACAAAAGCTTTAATGATAGCAACACATTTAAGAATTTGCATCCCTTTTAAAAGTGACACCAGATTCACATCTACAAAAATTTTAACACAGTTTAAGAACATTTTGTTGTTACATACACAAGCCACTTAGTTTGGCTGTTCACGTTTCTTAAATATTTATTTTATTTATATAAGTAACATAGGCACATTGGAAAAAGTCTGAAAAACAGGAAAATGAAACCAACCAACCATAATTCCTACCATTCTAATATAATTAAAAAATCATGGTTTCATTTTGGTTTAAATTGGTCTCTTTCCAATGAAATCATGTTACTATTATTTAGTTATTAGAACCTTCTGGTTCTGATTTTTTTTCTCTTTCTCAGTCTCTTTCATACCTATCTTTGAATGTACATATTCTTCTCCCTACCTCTGAATGATATACTTCCTTTATATGACTGTCTCCTTCCTAGCCAACTTCTTTTACTACTTGTTACCTCCTTCTGTTAACTTGCTACAAAAAGGAATTAAAATATTCATTCTTAAAAAAAAAAAAGGAACATCACCATTTTTAACTTTAAAATCAGATAAGCTGCTCTGGAAAATAGTTCAGTGATTCCTCAATAAGCTAACATATAATTATCATATGATCCATCAATTCCACTTCTGGGTATATACCCAAAAGAACTGAAAGTGAAGACTCAGAGACTTGTATACCAATGTTCATAGTAGCACTATTTTCAATAGCAAAAGGTGGAAATAACCCAAATTTCCACTGACAGATGAATGGATAAACAAAATTGGTTTATACATACAATGGAATATTATTCAGCCATAAAAAGGTATGAAATTCTAACACATGCTACAACTTGGATGAACCTTGAAAACATCATGCCAAGTGAAATATGCAAGACACCAAATGACAGAAGTTTGCATGATTCCACTTATGAAGTAGCTAGAACAGGCAAATACATAGAGAGAGAAAGTAGAATAGAGGCAATCAGGGGCTGGGTGAGGGGGGAATGGGGACTTATTAATGGGTGTAGCGCTTCTGTTTGGGATGATGAAAAGGTTCTGGAAATGGGTGGCAGTGGTGGTTGTACAGCATTGTGAATGTATTTAAAGCCACTGAATTGCACAGTTAAAGATAATTAAAATGGTACCCCTGAAATGAATATATTATTATATACCAATTCTATCTCAGTTAAAAAAAAATTAAATATGGCAGAAAAACTCTAAGAATCACAGCAGACTCAAAGTTTAACATATGTCCAACAACACAGTTCAACATGGATTAATGGGAAATAAATACATAAGAGAATAAATCATACCCATAAAATTGAAAAAAAAGTTAAAATGTAAGTTTTATGTTATGTATATTTACCATAATAACATATATGCCCCCCAAAACCAAATGAGCTAAAACTTTCACCTATCTCAATTATTTAAAAAAAAATCCAGTAGATCCTGCACAAAATGTACTTGAATAGGGGGTGGGGCAGGGTGGGGCTGGGGAAAAAAAGTACTGGCATAATAATGTTACATTATCTTGACAAGTGAACAAACCAAGTTATCAAATGATAATATCACATATTCTGTGTTGGTTTAATGGACATACACACCCCCCAATACTTACAGTTACATAGAAAAAATGTTGGAAAAAAATACACACTGAAGTATCAGCAGTGGTAACCACCAGGGAGAGGAGGGGATGTGGAAATACAGTCGTAGTGTTTGGAATATTTATAAGATTGTACTATTTTAATAATATAATGGAAAGGTATTTTAAAAATGAAAAAGCCATATGATAACTAATGGTCAACAAAGCCCACACAAGGCAGATATTTTGTAATATGCTAGCTTTTTTCAGGATCAGGGCTTAAACAGATTTAAAATTTCTAGACTGAACCCAGCATACATAAACAGGGAGCTATTTGGCTTAAAGTTAATTAAATTAATACACAATTAAAGTTTTCTAACTGTTATTTATCATAAAACTCAGAGGAAGGGGAGAAAGACTAGTGAGACAGATTCCTTTATATGGAAGTAATATAAGGAACTAAGATTACAGGCAGAGAATTAAAATTAACTACATTCAAGTTGAAAAGCAAAAAATTTATATATGCTTTTTACATCATGACAAGGAAAATATGCCTTACATAAGGTTTTTGAGAACATCTATATGCTTGATTAATACTGCATTAAGAAAAACAGGTTACACAATACAATTTAGGTAAAAACAAAATAAAACTTACGTTTCAAAAAGGGCAAAGATAAACAGAATCACGAAAAACAGAACATTGCTGGCCACAACAGCAACTTGATCAATACTTCCTTGAGGGACTTGAATTTCATCTGTACTTGCTATAGTAAACAAACAAAAAATTACATTATTTACACATCCAATTTTTCTTACAACATTAAGTGGTGTAAAAATTACATGTAGTGAATTCAACAACTAAACATTCAAAATCATTTTTTACACTTCGAAGCAGTTTAAAAGTAATGGAATTTACATGACAGAAATAATTTTTAAGTGGCATTTAAAAGTAAAGTGAATTTTCTTCCCAGGACATACACTTCAATTCTGCTGCCTACAGGAAATACTCAGATTTTCTACTTGTTGTCTTTCAATGAAAAATAGAACTGTGTTTTTATAGAATTCTATAAAATGATCTCAACTAAATACATGTGCTTTAAAATTCAGTTGCATTTTTGTCTACCTTACCTAAATTTTGAATTTATGAGGACTTCATGAAGACTTCAAATAGTTTATTAAATCACTTCTTAATTCTGTGATTCACTTCAATGGATACATATTTTGAAATGGTATGTGAAATTAGTATTAGTAAATATCCTTATGTTTTTACCACAATTTTAAGTCCTTACATTATCATTTATATTTTTTGCTAAGAACCAACAAGATTTGATGGTGGTTTTATAAATTAGGAAGGCAAAATGTGTATATTCACTTAACTATGTAGTTAAGTAACACACTCAATATAAGCCATATCTGATATAATTGAGTAGTATGAAGCCATATACATGTATTTATATATACCCATCATGCTATTTTATAATTTACCCACTTATTCAGAGTAAACCAGGTAAGTAATACAAGAATGTATTCATTTATACAATCTTTAAGTGTATGTGTAGCAGCAACGGGGACAGGGTGACTTTCCTAAGACACAGTAAGTTTCTGTATTTTTTTTATATGAGTGCCTGCCTTTATATTTCAGGAGAAGTTCCTCCTCCAATAATAAGTGAGGTCCGGAAATAGTCTGCTATACTTGGGGGCAGTTAAGCACCTTGGACACTCGACAATGTTATGACCTCCCTTTCTAATCACACAAAGAAAACTGGTCATCTTTGTCCAGGTATTTTTCTGAGGTAGATTCTGGTCCTTGTGAGCCCTGTGTTATTTGGATAGGCCTCCCTGAATCTCAGTCACCACCTAGAAGCCAGTCTTTACTCCTTTGAATCAAATATCAACAATGCCCCATGTCAGTCTGGAGTTTACTTCTTATGTGGTTAGTTTTCTGCAGCCTCCACCCAGTGCTAGCTTTGGTAGGGAAACTCAGAAATGTTGCATCCTAAACCATGGGGATTGACTAGGTATCCTAATTATAAGAATTTTAAGAAAATATTGCATTAGCATATTGATTAAAATACTATGTAATTGGAAATTCTAGCCTTATCCCATGATAACATCTTTAATAATAGGAATAAACCTGATATATTTTATCTAGACATTGAAATTTAAAAATAATTTTTGTTTTATTAAAATTATTTTGAAGAACCTAGAAATCTTATGAAAGAAAATAGATCTCTCTTTTCTAAATTCTCATTTGTGCTTTAGATCAGGGCTGTCCAAGAGAACTGACATGATGGAAATGTTCTTTCTGTGTACTGTCTAATACAGCTGCTAGTCACATATACCCACTGAGCACTTGAAATGTCGCTAGTGTCAATAAATTTAAATAGCCAAATGTGACTAGTGGCTATAGTACTGAATGGTATAACTGTAAGTCTTTGCTACTCAAAGTGTGGTTCATAGACGAGTAGCATCAGCTCATATGGAAGCTTGTTATAAATGTAGACTCTCTTCACTCAGGCCTCACCCCAGGCCTCCTTACTCAACCAGAGCCTGCATTTTAACAAGGTTCCCAGGCACTATGTAAGCACATTAAAGTCAAAGAAGCAAGGATCTAGATGGTAATCCCCTTCAACTTGTGAAAGATTTTGCTTATTGCCCTTTAACCTCATCCTCTTTAACTAGCTCATTCCCTTTACCTGATAGGTCCTTTAAGTTAGCAGCCTATTTTTCACCTTTTCAAAAAAGCAGCTTATACCCACAGCTGGCACTTCCTCACCATTCATTCTTTCTGTCTTTTTATTTTGAAAAGTTTTAAATATATCGTTATTTATCTATGTCCTAGATTCAATTGTATTTTGCCACACTTGATTTATTAACCCCTTCCTTTCCTCTTTTCCCTCACTCTCTTTGTTGCTGTACTGCTTTCCCCTGGATGATCCCCAAATTTGTATCTCTAGCTTTGATCTCTACTGCTAACATTAAAAACACCTCTGGAATTTTTCAGCTGTTCTAATGTAGCATTACATTTGGCTTAATCCAAATTGAAATCACCTTTTATCTTTTCAGCCAGTATCCCTTCTTAAATTCTTGTTCTCTTTCATACTTTTAATTATCCAAAATCAAAACCTGGCAGATATCTTCAACTCCCTTAGTCCTTATATTCCCTATCCAATCTGTCAAAAACCTTCAAAACCTCATATCTACTCCTTCTCCATTCTCAGTTACTGCCGTAGTTCAAACCTTCACATATCTGGATTAGCCTCACATGGAATCTGACTATTGTCACACTTCTCCTTAGTTCAAAACTTGCTAGAGCTCCTCACCACTCTGCTCTCCACCCTACTACTTTTAACTTTACCTTCCACTAGTTTTGTTGTGAAAATTAAATAAAATAGCTATCAAAAAACTTGGTAAAATAACACTTTTTTTTTCACAACTTCATAAACTCCTTGAGGGCAAGGACTAGATGCATTTTTTTTTACAAGGGGGACACTCCCCAAGAAGAACATAGTTGGTATTTAAATAATGCTTTATTTAGTGAAATATACCTGCTTACCAGATTGGGTACCTATTTATGAGTCAGAGAAAGATCTAAAGGATAAAAATGTGCATTTATAGAGTATACCAAAAGAATAAAAACACAAAAGAGAAACCATACTTATTTCCATGATTAAGGGAACAAAGAAATGCTTGAAACAGAAAGATATAAAGTAATTTTGGTAGCAAAATACTGAAATCATTTCAAAGATCTCAAGGATTTTAGGATATTGGCTCTTTGAAAACAAGATTTAACAATGGTTTTAAGCTTGTCGATTATGAACACCAAATGACTATCTAGAAATCAATTTAGGTAACTTTTAGCTTTGAAGATCTTCCCCAATTATCCATTGTACTGTCCTCAGAAGCAAAATTCAAGTAAATACCAAACAGACAGAATCATTAGAAACACTTTGTAATATTATAGTAATTTAGTCAAACAGGTTAATAGTACCTTCTTCAAAATTAACATTTTTACACTGTCGTCCTGAGTCATCCACACGATGTTCTCTTAAAAGAAAAACATAAATAGTGTATCCATGAAAGGCTTAGTATAATAGATAAATGGTTTTAATTTATTATAAGCTATCTGTCTATCTTTTCATATTCGGATAGTTTCTTCTATTGCCTTCTGAGTAATAAAATTATTACCAATGAGGTATAACCAATAAAATTTAAAAGATATGTTACAATTATTATATTATCAGAGAAAATGAAAAAGTACTCAATTCATCCAAAAGCATAAATGATCTATTTTAATCAGTATTTTAAGTTTTTCAATGATTTTTAACATGAGTTATGAATGTTTCTGGACTCTTGGATAAACTCTCTAAAGGAATATAAAGTAGTTTCATAAAATTTCTTCTAATACATAAAAGAGATAAACATTACAAGCAACTTCTGTATTTAAGGTTAATACTAATCATTAATCTACTTAAAATGTAGCTTTCATGCCATTCCCCTACTTAGAAACTTACAGTTAGTAAATCAAGACCAAACCTTGAATCTTCAAAAACCTTATAACGTTTTCTTTCATTGTCTATTATTTTAGTTATGAGTAACACATGCATTAACTGATCAAAAAATAAGAACACAGCTATAGGCATCAAAAATCAAATAAAGACATCATAGAAATAATAATCCTCTAATAATGATAACCCTTATTTAATTTCACAATCTACAAAAGTAGTTTTATCATTTCAATCTAATTACCTTAATATTGTAAGGATCAGAATAATATTTAAAATTCCCAGGAAGGCGCCAAGTAAAACTGGTGCTGTGTACATGTTTATCTGCAGCTTAATGGTATCCCATGTCACGCCCTTTTCTCCAATGAGTGCAAAACAAGTCTGAAAAACTTATTAAAATAAAATGTATACAGATATTATATGGGAGGCACAGGCTAAACTAAATGCGAAAAACATTTACCACAAAATTGGAAGTAACACTATGGAATCATCCATCTGCATCAGGCATCTCAATAGGGATAAGAAAATTGGTTCTTGAGGGGGAGAGGCAAAAAATTCACTCTTTTTCTGTATAAAGCACAGATATGCATACAGTACAGAAAAGACATTTAACACAGATCTGTGGTATTAAAATGTCATGGGACGGAATGATTAGGAAAAAAAGGCCTAAAAAGCCTCCTTAGGGAGATAATAATGAAAAAACTGATCGAGAAGCACTGATGTAAATGCATTCATAAGGGATTATATCTAACCTAACTTGTCTGTACCTTCTTTTTTTTAAATAGCTCCATAGGAAATTTAAAGTATACAACTCCTTCCATAAATAAATTATTAAAGTTTAATCAATTTGATTATAAGAAAATGTCACATTTCAACTCAATATTTTAAAATATTACTATGTATATGGTATTTAAATTATATATATCTAATATCATTTTAAATTTGGATCTGTGGCAAAAATCGCATTACAAAAGTACTGGTTTGCTCTCCTGATTGAGATTCCATATCTGGCTTTGCCAGTACTTTACATGTAACCTTAGGGTGAGGATTAAGTAAAATACTGCACTTAAAGTACTCAGAACAGTCTAGCACACAGTAAGCAGTTAGGAAATGTTAGTACTTATTGATGTGTTTATTGTTGGAAAAGTCATCTAATCTTTTCAGGCCTACATTTAATCATCTTTACTCCAAAATGTTTAAGTGAATAATCTTTAAAATGATTTTTAGATGGCCAAAATATTTACTGAGAACCCAAGCCTATACCAGGTACTATGCTAGATACCAACTGTAGAGTGGTAAATTAAAGAAGACTCAGACTATGCCCTCATGTATTTTATAATAAGGCAGTAGGTTCAATTATTCTAGATTTCTGCTTATATTTTATTCCAGAATGCTAAACTGAAATATTAGATTTTGGTGACTGATGAATTATTCTCTTCTGTGAAAGAGAAGAAGTAACAGAAATAATAGAAACCGCAGTGGGATTGGGGTGTTAACGATGAAGTAAACTGAGTTGGATTCAAATTCATGATATTCATAACTGCGATATTAAAAGCATGGGCCAAATTATGGCTTTTCAATGTTATTCTAGGAACAAAAAGTTAAGTTCTCTACTCATTTAGCAGAAAATTAATTGGCCTTAGGAAAATACTGAATCTCATTAATATATTTTTATACTCAGCTAAAGTATGAAAGCTTGGGAAGAGGACAAGAATAGCAAATCTATTTTAAATTCTCACTTTCTTCTATCATTTTCTTCAACCTTAGAAAAATCTTAATAGTATGGGCAAAATGCAAAAGGCAAAAGGGTAAAGAACTTCCTCAAATTACTTTCCTCAAATCTTTCAGTTAAAAGAATTTTGTTTCTAATAAACAGGAAGAAAAGCAAACTCTTGCTGAGATGTTAAGCTAAATGATTATCTGACAGAACACATACTTTGGAATCAGACAGTTAGGTTTGAACCTCAGATTTTTAATTTACTATCAGGGTGACCCTGGATAATTTATTTATATTCTCTATGCCTTGGTTTCTTAATCAGTACAATGGGACTAACAGCACTTAATTTAAAGAGTAAGAGTTAACACATATAAGAGCCTAGCCTGGCTGCTGGATCAAAAAATACCCGTTTCCCTCCCTTTTCTTCAGCTAAGAGGTTTAATACTTGGATTTCATTTAACATTTGAAACTCAAAAGTTTCCCAATTCAAATTCAAGTAATGACAAGTGAAGAATACTTACCTGGACCTAGAATAAAACCTAATGCTTGACATGCACTTGTGTTTGCCATAGAACTTGTTCTTTCCTGAAGAGAGGTAGCACCAGCAATATATGATCTAATAACTGCTACATTTCCTAAGAAAAGACATGATAACTCAAAGTAAAAGAAAATATTCTTCCATTTATAAAGTTCAATTTAATTTGGCTCTATGCAGAAGAGGAAATATTAATCTACAGTATAGTCACCACTTCCCTTTTATGATTACACAAGGCATATATAGTGAACAAATGCATCAATTAATGGGAAATATTACTTGTAGAAATATGAAAACACAGTTAAAGATTTGAATGAATGAAAAAAATGGCATTTCAGGAATGGTAAACTTTTTTTTCATCATTAAATACCAAGAAAGTATTGAGTGAATGGTATACTTCTAATTACTACACTATTTTAAAAAGAAAGATGATACACACTATTCATGTTGAGACCTGTAACATAAGAAACAGATAATTTAACTCAAAAAAACTTTGTTGAGCACTTATTATGTTGAAGAGAATCTACTAGGGACTACAGAATATTTTTAAAAGTCATAAATTGGTGGTGGGGGGCATATAGCTCAGTGGTAGGGCACATGCTTAGCCTGCACAAGGTCCTGGGTTCAATCCCCAGTACTTCCAATCAATCAATCAATAATTTTTAAAAAAATTATAAATTGTCTTCACTTACAATAAATTTGCTATCTAGTTGGTGATAAAGGATGAAAACAGTGCAAAACAATATATAAGCAAATGCCAGAGACATGTTAGAGAAAGGAAAGATCTGTTAAGGGGTAGGGTAAACCTTCATGGAACATGTGAAACTTGAACTGAATCCTAAAGGATGAAGAATGATGGGAACAGAAGATAGAAACTATAGGTAATGGGAACATCAGGAGAAACATTATGAGTAAAGGCAAAATGACAGGACAGATATTTGTCTATTTGCAATGAGACACCTGTATTTATTGAATGTGGTATATGAAACTGAGAAGGGGTGACACCAAGTGAGAGATACATATAAATGTCAGGATGAACAACCAAACATATACATACAGATTACCTGCTCCAAATCCCACCAATCCTCGAGCAACCAACATGTAGTATTTATTATGAGAAGCTGGAACGTGGACATACGCATAGAGGCAGTTGGCTCCCACCGAAATGAGAGTTGAAACAATAAGAGGTTCTTTTCTTGGTCTATAATTAGACCACAAACCAAATATAGGTGAAGCTACCATTTGGCCAAGACTAAACGAAGCAATAACCCAGCCCAAAAAACTTGCATCGGCTGTCTGATCAATCTGCAGGAAAAAAGATTACAATGCTTTAAAAATTCTTATCCAAGAAGAGTAAAGTTTAAAATCTAAATACATTTTTCTGACCAGTAACATTTCTTATTAAAAGAATTTAAAAAAATAATTCTTGTATATGTAAGTTTTGTAACACCCTTACTTATAGTGAGGAATTCAAACTTCTGACATTACAATTAAATGTGCTAACAATTCACTATACACCTGGAAAAATGCTTAAGAAACTTCATCTTTTAGAGTAATTACAGAAATTCTGTATCATAAAAATCTTGTTTAAAAGATAATCACATTATATACCTTATAATAACATCATAAAAATATGCCAATCTTTAATTCTTGTAAGTACATTTAGGCTTAACACTCTAAGTTAAATAGCCATTAGCACTATGAATCTATCTTTTTAAACTGGGTACAATAATTAAATGCTTAAAGAGGATAATAAAATTTCTCCCATTATACCTATTAATAATTCTTCCTTTTAGCATAGACAATTCAGGATTCTATCAAAGAGGGTCTATATATCATGATGAATGTTGAAGGAAGGACCAAATGATTAAAACTCAGAAAATAAAATACTTTCATAAAATAGAAAATTTTAGCTTACAAAAGGGACTATAGAATAAATCAATAGATTGTGTTTTTTTTAAAATATGGTAGGCTATATATATACATTCGGAAAAATAAGAACCATTAAATTTTAGGAAGTAAGTTTAAAGATATATAGGTTAAGAGGTACAACAACTTAATAAGGAAAACCATGGCCTTTTCTTCTCTAAAGATATCTAAATAGCTTAAAAGGAAGATATTTAGGTATAATTTTGTTTGTGGGGAATGAGAAATAAGAGTGAACAAGTATAACAACTTTATGTCATAAATTTAAAAATTAATTTTCAAAAAGCAATGAAAATTCAATTTTAATGTTAAATGTCTAGTAGTTAGAAAGCAAAAGGATAAAAGTATCTTTTCAGGATATCAGTTAATAACAGTCAAGTGACCCTTTCACAGACAGAAGTGAGCTGACTCCTGACTCCTGGAGATGACTCTAATAATTTTAACAGTATTTGCTACTGTAATTTGATATTATTCTTTACAGTGAATGACTGGAAAACTGGAATCTGCTAGAGTTTTGCTAGAATTGAAACATGGAAGTTAAATGGTTTGGGAGATATAGGTCTATACTACAACAGAAGGTATCAATTTAGTAACTGAACTGTTATCTGTGCTCCTGTGTGTTTCTCTCTTACAGTAATAACAGAATCTTGTTTCTGGTCCTCTGGCCACCACTAATGATCTCTATCATACTGTTTTCAGGATAAAATCTAAACCACTTGTTATGAAAAACCAGCTCACAAGCTGGCCACTCTAACCTCATCTCTCTGTATGCTCCCTCAACTCAGTCCTAACTTCTAGTCAAACAGAACCGTTTGGTATTTCCAAAATGAGTCAAGCTTTTTGCTTCCAGGCCTTTGCAGAGGTTCCTCTACTGCTTCTTCCATCAGGAATGCCTTTCCAACCTCCCACTCCCCAGCCCGGACCACTCCTTCAGGATCAATTTCTATAGGTCTTCAAACTCAGCTCAGGAATAACTGACTTTGGAAAGATTCCAGGATCTCTTTAGTCTAGATTAGCAACATCTCCCAAGCACTAACATCTGTCTGTGTCTGTCTGTGCATAAGTCTCTTGTGCCTGTGTCTTCTGCCCCTCTCTCTCTGACTCCCTTCCTCCCTCACGCTTGTTTGCTCACACTTGCTCCCCACATGTACACTGCCCCGTACTTTTAGACTTGTACTTTTACACTTATATGATAATTATCTGTAAACTTGTTGGTTTTACACACTTCAGTGGAAGTTAGATCTACATCTTCTCTTAAAAAAAAAAAACAAAACCCAGTACACAGTATTGAATTTCAAAACATTCTTCGCTAAATATGTTAATAATGTTGACAAAGTCAAAGTTCTAGAAATCGTAATGCTTTGCTATGGGAGTTGAGACATTACTATGGGTGTTCCAAGCCTCTTCAACTATTTAATTATAGATTATTATTTATTCATTCAATTAACAGTCACTGAGACCTCTGTGACAAAACCTGTGTAAGGCAATACAGACACAAAAATGAGTAAACACAGTGCCCGCATCAATGAGTTTCCAAATCAGGTTCTACTTATCAGATTCTGAAAAATTTTGCATTTGAGTAGGTCAGGAAAAAAACCAGCATGCTTTAATTCTTTATCTGTCAAATAGGGCTAACTTCACAGAGCTGTTATAAGAATTATTTAAGCCAATATATGTATAACGTCAACATCAGTATAAGGTATGCACTAAATGAATGTTATCTATGCAATTTAAAAGTTAGTATTTCTTAGCATTTTGTTTTTACTGATATGTCAGTTTTATTATAACTCACGCATGACTATTTCCACTATATACCTGAGTCTATAGAATAACCTACCATTCCAATTCAAAATCTGGGCTTAAGAATATGAGTCTTCCTGGAAATCAACCACAACTCTGGACAATATAGCCTAAGGAATCATTGGCTGATAGCTGTCTATCAGGCAGGGCCAGAAGCACAAGTCAGAGATTCATAGTAATGCCAAATTCCTTTCAGAAAGATAGTTGCTTGTTTGTTTGTTTTTTAAGATTTTTTGGCCTAGCTTTTTCTCTTTCTCACAGATGGCTTTTAAGCTAAGTAATATTTGGCAACATGCTATTATAAAAGAGTCAGTAGCCTTAAATTAAGAATGAAAAATTTTAAGGTAGTAGGTAGTTTAAGTTAATTTTCAAAATGGCAATGAAAATGTGGCACTAAATCACTAAAAAGTAAAGTCTGGAATTTTCTTCTTACATTTCTTTTAAAAGACAGCATAAGAAAGTTGCATTTTCAAAAAGTTAAAAATTCATAAAAACCAAAAAAACTAAAGTGAAATAAACATCAATAAATTTCTTATATAATAGCTTATCATTTTTAAACCCTAAGTATTTGCCAAATATGTCTACTATTTTTGTTGAAGCCACCTGATCATTTTAACAATCTAGTAGGGATGTTAGGTGAACTCTCCGTAACACAGTTACAACACTCAATGCTAAATGTTAATGATAAAGGGATATGGAAGCACATAGGAAAACCTTCTAACCCAAATGGGGGTGAGGGGCAGCAAGAGAAGGCTTTTCAGAGGAGGTAACATTGGAGCAACACCTTGGAGAATTAATTAAAAATAGTGAGGAGGAAGGGAATGACAGAGGAAAGGTGAGATGGTAGGAAGGAAAGCATTCCAGAAAAAAAGGAGAAAAATGTGTAAATAACTGAGGACCTTAGGTTCATCCAAGCACATATGTCTAACAAATTACTGGCTTTCGATCTAGTATGGTGAAGGCTTAGGAGTAAGGCTAAAACACACACACACGTCCCTCTGAAGAAAAACAAAGCATAAGGAGCAAGTTGATAAAGAAAAATACACAACAGAATTTTTTTGCTGGGGTGGGGGTGGGGGGTTTGCAGCGGGTAATTAAGTTTATCTATTTTTTTAAAAAAATTTTTTTAATGGAGGTACTGGGGATTGAAGCCAGGACCTCATGCATGCTAAGCATACACTACCACTGAGCTATATATACCCTCCCCACAAAAGAATTTAAGAATAAAGCATTAAGAATAATGTCATGGAAGTAGGAGAGGGTTTCAAGTAGAGAGAGGACAACAATGTCAAACACTACCCAAAAGTCACCTGAAGTAAGGACTGAAAAGTATCTAGTATTTAGTGAGCAATTAAGTCCCTGGAGACCTCATCAAGAGCAGTGTCAGGGGAGCAGAGGAGTTAATCAGAATGTAGCTGGTTAAGGAGTGAGTAAGAGTTAGGAAGTACAGAGGAACTTCTTTAAGAAATTTAACTGAAATATTGTTATCAATTAAGTATGTCTCCAACTTACTGATTTTTAATAAGGTCATTACTGGAGTTTTAAGACAGAATTGACAGATATTTACACAATGTTATAAGCCAATATATATTTTTTAAAGATAGAATTGACAGAACTTGATCACCTGATAACCAAACTTACCTATCTAGTAACCACAGCATCAACATACATATATTATCTATTCTTTTTACAATGTCACCTGATAACCCAAATTAATTCTATATGAAAGCATGTAATTATTCCATAGAAATATTATTTATACATTTTAGGAATTCAGACTATGTCTAGCTTAGTTGCCTTTTAATTAGGGAAGGGGTATTGATGGGCTGGGAAGGTGGCTAATAAGTAGCTGACTATACATCTGCATTTACCTGGGACTGTCTGGGTATATACAACCCTATTCTCCTGCTATAGCACTCCTTTCACTTCAAAAGTGTGCTGGTTTGCACAATAAAGCATATGATCTCCTTATTTACAAGCCCCTTTGAGGAATTATTACCTTAAATTATTCTAATAACAATTAAGTTAGGATACCAAAGAGAGCCTCTAGAAAAGTCTTAGCTACATAAGTGTTACTATTATGACAGCTACTTAAGAGAAGAATAGATTGAAGTGCACAAACCTTTTGGAGATATGGCCATATTGACATCATCACGATAGAAAATCCTGTGAAGATGCAAATTCTGTTATTTATAATAATTTCATCACTACTTTTAGATATAATGTTTTGAACTACACCATGGATTTTAAAATATCATTCTGAATTTACAAATTTATGATCACAAATGTCTAATTTATTAAGCAATGGGGTTTTATCAGAAGGAAAATAAATTTTAAAGGCTTAAAAAATTACATATAATTATAGTCCCTGACCATAATCAACATAATAAAAGCAAAGGATCTATTTCTGCTTATTCACATGCCTTTTTTGTAAATGAAAATTACAATGGCTTTGTTAAGTTTTTATAGCAGAAATGAATGGAGGAAAGGTCACTTTGTTACAGAGGAAGTGCTAGACTTCTAAAATGTTGTTTGGAAGAGATGATGACTACATGGAGGCCTAGGAAGAAGGAAAATTATCTTTAAAAGAGACAGTGGCTATAAAAAACCAGGTTGGGGATATCTTAGAAAATTCATTATCTCTGCTAGCTTTTATTGCTTGAGAACTGTAATGATAAAGTCAAATGCTGCTTGTAAATTTTAAATGGTAGGCACATCCAATCAAAATTCTATAAAGGCAATTAAAAAAACAGCTCTATTAAGACATAATTCACATAGAATTCACCTATTGTAAAGAGTACGATTTAATGGTTTCAAGTTTCCCAGATGAGTGCAACCATCACTACAGTCATTTTTAGAACATTTTAGTTCACTTCAAAAAGAAACCTTGGACCCTTTAGCTATACCCTGCTACCCTCCAATCTTCCCCAAAAAGCCCTTAAGCAACCATTAATCTATTTTCCGTCTCTATAGATTTTCCTATTCTAGACTTTCGTAAAAATAGAATCTTTTTGTGTCTGTCCAGCTTCTTTCTTTGCATACTTCAAGGTTCATCCATGTTGTAGCAGTATCAGTACTTCATTCCTTTTAAAAAGTCTATTTTTATAAATAATTTATTCATTTCATTTTAGTGTATTATGAATTAACACATTGACTCTGATGAAAAAACTGTTCAAAGAGTCAACTAATATTTGAAAATAAGGCTACTATCTCACAATCGAGCATTTCCAAATGCAAGTTTGTGTGCCCAATGCACAGCAAGGCCAAACAAACCAAAATGTGGGCGTTTGGAGCAGAAAAAGGCTTATTGCTGGGCCAAGCAAGGAGTATGGGTGGCTTGTGCTCAAAAACTCTGAACCCCCCAATGGTTTGGGGGGAGAAGTTTTTACAGGCAAAACTTGAGGTGAAGGCTGCAGCGTATGTGACTTTCTTCTGATTGGCTGGTGGTGAGGTAACGGGGCAGTGTTCTAGGAATCCTGTGGTTAGCCTGAAGTTATCATCCTCCACCTGAGTGGAGGCCTCAGTTTCTGCAGAAGAACTCAAAGGTACTGTTATGTAATATTCCATAAGTAGCAACAAGAACCTTGCCCAGTTGCTGCAGTTCTTGACTCCTCCTTCTTAGTTTCTGCATTCCTTCCCTTCCCTGATAAGAAGCTGTTTGAATCTGCCCTTTGGAACTCAGGGAAGGTCAAGGAGGCTGAATGAAACCTATTTGCTACAAACAAACGGGGACACAGAAAGGATCTGTACCTGGGAGGGCCCCACAGGATCCTGCTCCATTTCACAAGAAACTTGTAAACAGGTAAAATGTTTAACATGACAAATAAAATCTAAAGTTAAAGTAATTTTTTGCTGTGAAATTTGAAACTATTACTTATATTTTAGATAATTGAGATAACTGAGTCCTAAAAATTTGAAGTATTTTAAATGAAAAACAATCTATTGCCAAGATTGCTACCTAAACAACATTCATTTGCCCCTTCCTCCTTCCTGATAGAAGCCTGATTGTATTCAGGTATCCATCACTAATCCACAAAGCCTCAGGCTTCAAAGGAAACTGTTTCTACCCCAAATTCCAGAAGGTAGATCCTAATTAGTCTAAAAAATTCAATGGATGTAATCCCACTATTCTAGCTGATGATGGGTTTAGAAATTAACAGGTAACCCAGTTCTGATCAGTGAGAAATGAGGGGAGGTCTACTTTGAGACTACCAGGAAAGGACTCCTCATCTCTTTGGAGATTTAAAAAAAAAAGTTCCTTTCAATCAATAAAAATTATCATGAAAAGATAAGATACCTGGAACTGTTGCTATTAACTTGCTATAGCCTAAGAATGAAGGCAATCTGTAGAAGAGGGCAAAACCAAAAATGTTACACTCAGAAGTACAGTGAGCTTTACCTGGAGTTGTCCCACTAGAGACATTAAAAAAAAAGTAAATTACTATTTAAGCCAATTTGAATCAACATTTTTTTGCTGATATTTGTAGAAGGTATAATAGTAAACATACAATCCAAGATAAAATTATATTACAAATAAATGTTGAAAATATCCTTTATTTTGTACTTTTTCTTAGTTTAAGCTTTATTAAAATCTATTTTTACTCAATGTTGTGTCATGAACAAGACTGGCCAGTGAGAGGGAACAAGATGATGACCTGGGGTAAATAGAAAGGATATGAAAAACAATTTAGTAAAATGACTTTCACTAAATCCATCTCAGAGAAAGAAATCACTTGTAAAATTAGTGCATACAGACTCAGACAGTCTAAACTTAGAAAAAAAATTGATTCCCTAAAACATTCCTTTACAAATCATCACAGTGTTGAGATTTTCTATATAATTTCATTCCTTATCATTTTAACCCAATTACAGCTCTTAATATTAAAAAAATTTTTTCCTCATGAAGCTTTACTTTTTAGTAATTATATTTTCAGAAATAATGTTAATTGGTTAAAATATATCAAGCTACACAGATTAAGATTCTTGCTCTTTACTATTTGTATGCTATGCGTCAGTATAAAAGTCAAATGAGGTTCATAGGCAACAAAAGGAAAAACTAGATAAATTGAGCCACACCAAAATTTAAAACTTCTGTGAACCAAAGGACACAATCAGCAGAGAGAAAAGAAGAGTCCTGGAATGGTATCTGCAAATCATATATCTGATAAGGGGTCAACATTCAGAATATATAACAAACTCCTACAACTCAACAACAACAAAAAAACCTGATTAAAAAATGTACAAAGGACTTTCTCCAAAGAAGATATACAGATGGCCAATATGCACATGAAAAGATGCCCAACATCACTAATCATCAAGGAAATATAAATTAAAATCACAACCACCTAATGGCTATTAGAATGATGACTATTAAATAAATATAAAATAAGAGTTGGTGAGGATGTGGAAAATTTGAACACTGACTGTAATGAGAATGTAAAATAATGCAGCAGCTATGGAAAACAGTATAGAAGTTCCTTAAAAAATTAAAAATAGAATTATCATATGATACAGAAATTCCACTTCTGGATGTATACCCAAAAGAACTGAAAGCAGGATGTTAAAGAGACAGTTGCACACCCATGTTCAGAGCAGCTATTTATAAGAAACAAGATGGGGAATGAGCCTAAATGTTTATCAACAGATGAATGGATAAACAAAATGTAGGATATACCGAAGGGGATCAGAACATGCCACCCTAAAATATGCTGCTTTGGCATATTGATTATTTTGAGCTGAAGGCAACTAACAGACAGCAGACAAAGGAAGGGCTCTCGGCCCTCCCCATCTCTGCCGAAAAACAGGGGATATATTTTCCTTGGTGCTCTCCAGTACCAGGAAGGAGAGAACATCCTTATCACTGGAGAAGGAAAGTCAACGCTGAGATGAGTTGGCACAAACAAACCTTACTAGAATAACTCTCATCCTCCGTTAGTTTCCCCCATGTATTTTCTAGTCATTTTTCCACAATTCACCATCCCTAGAAGCCCAAATCCTTTCCTTTATCTAGGCACTTCTCCACAATTACAGCCCTTCATTAAAATAGTATAAATGTCTCTGAGTCTAACCATTTCTTTGGGTTTTCACTTCTTTTGTATGAAGCCTCCTGTGTCATGTAAAAATATTAACATTAAATAAATTTGTATGCTTTTCTCCTGTTGATCTGCCAGTTGTCAGTTTAATTTGCATGCCACAGGTACAGAACCTAAGAAGGCAGAGGAAACGTTTTCTTTTTCCCTACAAATTATACAACATAATATTATTTAGCCTTAAAAAGGAAGGAAATTCTGATACATGCTACAACATAGATAAACCTTGACATTATGCTAAATGAAATAAACTCAAAAATTTAAAAATACTGTATGATTCCATTTGTATAAAGTATCTAATGTAGTCAAATTCATAGAAACAGAAAGCAAAATGGTGGTTGCCAGGGGCTGGGGCAAAGGAGTTGTTGTTTAAAGGAAACAGAGTTTCAGTTTTGCAAGATAAAAAAGTTCTGGAGATTGGTTACACAACTATGTAGATATATTTAACACTACTGATCTTAGAAATGGTTAAATGGTACATTTTATGTGACATGGTTTTTACCACAGTAAAAATAATTTTAAAAAATAAATGAGATTAAAATATGATATTTTATCTAAATTTTTTTAATTATGTATAATTCCTAATACTTACCTACACTGCTGAGAAACATAGTAAGATACAGAATCCTAATAGATCTCCATCGACTCTTATAATGCTCCTCAGTTTCTATAATATCCCATTCCCTAGGTGTAAAGAAGAAAAAAAGTAGTATAAAGTTATCTCATTACATGCAAATCTTTCTGTGGCATAATTTTATTTTCTCTCTCCTGAAGGCATGAAAAGTATGTGATAGAGGTATAATTTACTAATACTGATTTTTATTATACTTCTTCATCTATCTATAAATAAGCACCATTTCTTTTAATTTCCATGGAATGTATTTATGCACCACCGTACACAGAAACTTGGGAGACATGTGGTAACTTGTAAAAGGCAACACATTTTGTGAACCAATTATTTTGCTACTGTTGGCATGGTACAAATTTATGAATCAAGAGTTCTGAAATTTGCTAAACTGACAAAATGTATAAAGCATATCAAAATAACTAAACTAGCTACAACAATTAATCTCCTACAGGTCAGATACATAACTAGTAAGTATTAAAATATAATTATTGTCATCATTATGACATGTCCTACTTGATGACAGCAAAATGACTTTGCTGTAGGAAGATACTTTGGTTGGGTACTTTCAACAAAATTAATATAAAATTGACACCAGGAAGGTTTGATGTGACCTAAGACATTCTTAGTCCTGGGACCTCCTGGAACACTTGCTCCAACACAGGTTACCAGACAAGTTCTATCAGAGGAACAAAGAGAGACCAAGGTCCCTTCAGACTGGATTGATCTGTCCTATAGTCTGTGACCTGTACTAACAGGAAGTGTATTAACCAGATAGCCTCCCTCTGAGAGGTGATACATTATTGTGTGTTCTCATTATATTTTCACATATGCATACAAAGAGAGTTAACAAATTTACCTCAAAATGAGCATGTTTTCAAATAATTAAGCACAATAGAGAAAATGCCTTATGTTCCAAGATTAGTTTCTAAAATAGACTTAGACCTGTTAAATTAGTCTTCAAAAAAGAAACTTTTTCTCCCCAAATATGATGTGATTGGGAATGTTAGAGAGGGAATAAAGAAGAGAAACAGCATTTATTAGATTTACTTTGTGCCAAGTATATTAGTTCCTGATGTAATACATATGAAGTGCTTAACAATGGATATGCCGTTCCATAAAAATAGACTGTAATGTAACATACCTGAAAAATAGCAGAATTCCAGATGCCCTTATTTGGAAATCAATATATTGGAATTTGGAATACATAATGCAGACAATTACATATCAGCAAAAGGTATACACCTGTTTCAGTCCCACAGCACTGGATCCTGGTATAACTTTAAAGTACTGGGTTTCTATTATATTTTTAATGAACTCATTATTATTTTCTGGAGGTCAAAAATTAAACCAATAATCACAAATAAGAACTATCATTAAAACCAGCCTGAAATTTTTCAAATAACTAACTTGCTCAGAACTTATCTACATCAGGAAAGAGAAATAGCAAATAACTTAATTCTGAAAAAAATGTAACAAAATTATTTGTTTGAGTGACTTAGACCTGATTTGAATCTCAGTCAAAAAAAATCTTACCTCTTTTAATGATAGCTATTAAATATTGAAGGGATGATAGAAAATCACCATTTATTCTCCATGTAATAATGGATGAAAGCAAAGATCATTAATGGATCCTAAAACAACTGGTTGAAAGGTCACAGGGCCTCTAAGTATCACTCCACTGTCTATTTACTAATCACAAAACGGAAAGTGAGCCTTTATAATTGAGAAATATAGCAGTCACCCTCTTAACCAAGTGGTCAGGCTTGGCTTCCCCAAAAGTGGGATGGCCTGGCATCCAATGCCTCCTGACAGAATATATTAGGATGTTCTCAACATAAGCCATGGCAAGGATGTTCTTGCCAGGAATATTTGACCAGGATCTATTCTGAAACAGTCCACAAATCCAGAATGTGAGATCTTGTGAAGAAAACAGAAAATTGGCCTAGACTTGCCAAAGGATTCAATGTTGGGAAAAACAGAAAGAAAAGGTCAGGGGATAGTTTAAGGTTGCAGAAATCTAAAAAGACATAAGGATTAATGTATGAACATTAATTGGATCCTGGGTTTGTTTTTTTTTAGTAGCTATAAAGTACATTTTTGGAACAACTGGAAAAATTTGAGCACAGACTGTATAGTGCATGACATTTTGAATAGTACTGTATTTTTAGCTGTGGTAACAGTGATACAGTTTATAAAAGAATGTCTATGTTTGAGGGAGATGCAGGCTACAGACTAAAATACATAGGATAAAGTGCCATAATGTCTGCAACCTACTTTGGGGTAGTTTGGCAAAAGAGGTGTGTGTGTGTAGAAAGAGAGATTTGAGCAGTGTGAAACGGCTAACAATGACAGGGTAATCACGTGTTCACTGCACTATTTTTCAACTCTTCTATGGATTAAGAATGTTTCAAAATAAAAATTTTTACTTTTCCTTCTTTTTAATTCAAAAAGTTTAACTCTTATAAAGAAATGTATCTTTCTTCCTTGTTGGAGACAGTAGGAACATAAAGAATGTAAAAAATGAAGTTATCATTTTCATTACATTTTCTTAACCTTGTTGATTCAACCAACTGTGTCACATGGCTGACAGTAAGTTTCCAAAGGCTTCTTTCTTGTATCACCAGAGCACAGGAAGGAATGCTGTATTCCAGGGTGATTTGTTTAACTTTTTGATTCTTACTATCATTGCTGTATCTGGTATTAGTTCTCCATTTGAGATTCTCCAAGTAAAACTGCAGTGCTAAAGGATTTTGCCCTGTCCAACATTTTCACTACAAACTATATCTCAAATGATAGCATGCTTACCAAACTTGTGACTTAAAAAAACTAAGAGGAATACATGATAAACTAGAGTAAATTGATAACCAAAATAAGTTAGATAATAATTAATAGGAATAAGTAAAAAGTGCCATAATTAGTTTCAATAGATCAAGATCTAATACAAGGATTCTCGGGTAAACAACAGTACTTTATTTGTAAACAAAGACTCTGGATTTACTGAGGGGAAAAATAAAATTATACTTTTATAAGAGAGAGCATATGTAAACTAATGAAGAGGAGAAAAGAACCCATATTGAAAGAGGAAAGAAAAAGAGTGTGTGGTCACTGATAGAATAGCATATAATTGTGTAAAAGTTATAGAAATTAGAAAACAGAAATAAACTGAGAACATTCTACCAAGATATCTTCTATGTGACCATAAGTTCTAGTAATAATTATTTTAAGGAGACTAGGCTAAGGTTGCAAAGAAAAATTTTAAGAACTGTAATATTTTAGGATATTCTAAGAGAGGGATCAGCAGACTATAGTCTGTAGGCCAAACCCAGCCTACCAACTGTATGGCCCATGAGCTAAGAATGGTTTTTGCAGATGAATATTTGTGATCAATTTGATGATAAGAAAACATTAACTCTGAATTCCAAAACAAACATAATGCCACTCCCCTCAAAGAATTCTACTTCTCTCATTATTAGACTTGTATTAAAAAAAAACTACTCATTAATTAGTACATTTTAAATTACTGCAAAATTTTGTGAAAATTTTTCTTTCTTGGTATCTAAGTACTTACTTAATAATTTTAATTTTGCCTCTTGGCCTGCAAAGCCAAAAATATTTACCATCTGGACCTTTACAAAAAAAAGTCTGTGGACCCCTGTTCTCTTAAACTCTATGGACAGGGTCAGTGGGGATCACTGAGGACTCACCAGTAAATTAGAGCCAATCTTCTTGGTGAGGAAAGGTCAGTAGGTGAACCAGACTCATGTTTCCACAATTTATTCTAAGTGAACAGGGCTTGGCAACTAGTTTTACATATGCTCCCTTTATTAGGGAAACTAATTATGTTTTTAAAAGCAGTATACTTATTGAATTATTCTCAAAATACTCCCTTTTTATTTTAAAAGTGCTAAATTTAGAAAACAAATCAAGTATTGTTTATGGACAGATCATGTGAACTTAGAGGGACCCTAATGAGTATCAATTACTTGGACATAATTGCAACTGAGAGTAAGAAAAAAATTTCCTTTTTTAAGTAGGTTTATTTGGACAAAGCGACAGAATGTACCATTAAGACCACATCTAACCGTAACTCAAGGATCCTGAAATCCACCTGGGAAAAAAACAAAAACTACAAAGAAGCCAAAAGGACACTGAGGAAACCAGAGTCCCAAAGTCCATGTACTCTAGTTTATGCACTTGATTAATACTAGAGATCTTTAGCTTTCAGTTAGACCTTCCATGTTCTAACTACCCACAATTCTATTAAGTTTAGATATATGATTTCCAAATCCACAGTAAAATATAAGTCCCAAAATAAAGTTGGGAGAAGAGAGGTTTGCAGACAGCCATAAAAACAGAGGTTCCCAACAGACAACAAAAACGTGATGAGGAATAGTCTGTAGGCAGAAAAACTAAAAAGCAGACATGGAAAGTAGAGCAGTGTAGAACATATTAGTATAGAAGCAAATAGTCACAAATGCCTTAGGCTGGAGGATGTCACTCTAATACAACATATTTCAGCACTAACACTCATTTTAATGATCTCAACATAAAATATAGATTAAATTGCATTCCATATATTCTGTTTGGTAAATTATGGACCAAAGAAATACATTTTCCAAAGGGTTTCAAACAAAGCGATTTTTTACAAAAGGTTTCTTGCTTAAGGGGGACAAATGAGTAAAAATCAACATGGTCGTAGGCAGCTGAAGTTTACTTGTGAATTTTTTGGTTAAATACTTTAATAAGAAACATACTGTAACAATTCTGAATTATAGTCCATAAACTAGGATAAAAATAATCAGAATAAAAAGGGTCAAAACACACTTCATCCCCTAAATACTTAAAAAATCAGCTTTTGGCATAGGATAAAGGTGAGCTCAGCTTAGGTTTACTTGCTAAAAAAGTATCAGGAAGTTATCATGCACTTAGTTAAGTCAATACTGAGACCGGTATCTTCAAGTATCGATTAAAACCGTATTTTTCGAACTTTTGTGAAAGGTGTAAGGGGATCATTCCTGTAAAGGGCCAAATGCAAAATGAAGTGGCTTGGTTTGTGCATCACTGTTGGAGTAAAAAAAAATCAGTAGGCAGCTTGCGTTTCTCTAACACCTTCACCAGAACCCACCGGTTGAAGGCTCCGGGCAGCCAGACGCCCTTTCTCGGAAGTGGGAGCGCGTCTCCCGGTTTGACGGGACCTACCGCCGGCTCCCGCCTCCCTGGCACTCCTCATTCGGCCCAATAAGGCTGACGCGGGAAAGGGGCGAGTCCCAAAAGCTCAGGAAGGTGAGGGAGACTTCCCCCAACATCCGCTCACCTGCTTCCGGGTAGGCTGTCGCTTAAGAGCGGCTCCTGCTCAGCCTTGGCCTCCAAGCTCGCCATAGTCACTGCTCCCACAAGGCTTGAGGCCAACTCTCGCGACACCTCCTGCTCCCTCTTATTCCCGGCGACCCGAAGCTGTCAAAACAGGCCAGCAAGTGCGCGTGCTTGCCAGGCGACCAGAAGTGGGCGGAGCGCCCCAGGTCAGAGGCGGGGTCACGTAGGAGCAGATGAGGGAGTTAAGGGCGGGGCCTTAAATCCTTTTCCTCCTCTCTGGATCCGCGCCTCTCGGCCTGCAGAAACGTTGGGAAGAGTCAGAGAGAGTTCGGGGGCGTGTCCAAACAACCTCCCGGCCCAGGGCTCGGCTGCCTCTCTACGCTTTCCTGTCAGCTACCGCTCATTCTTCAGTTCCTGGAGAGGCCGCTGTCGCTGCTTTTGGGGCTCAGAAGGAAGGCAAGTCCCGGGTGCCTAGATTGCGGCGGCGCTGGAAGTCTCGGGCAGCTGGACAGCAGGCGTCCGCCGGGCGGCCAGTAAGTAGCCGGTCCAGGCCCCACTTCCCAAGCCTCTTGCTGCGCTGCCTACGTGCCAGAAGGCAGGGACTGAGAGTGCAAGGCTTGGCGGGAGGCGCGGGGGTCTGGAGCCCGGGGCGAGGCGGGGGTCTCTGGTGGCCCGGTTGAGGTGGGCTGGTGGGCTGTCCCTGCCCACTGTGGAAGGTAGAGGTTGCTACGCAGTGTCGTTACAAAGGCACCTTACCCATAGTGCCTTGTTAGGACCTGGACTGAAGATGGGGTCCAGCCCCTTCTAATCTGCTGATCTTCAGACTTGAGCCCCACTGCCGCCTGCGCGGGCTGGAGGCTTCAGCCTTGCAGGATGACACTCAGTGGAGCCTACTCCTGTAACCTGAGGGTTAGAAAAGGCACAGCAGCACTAGATTGACGATGACTCCTTTCATCACAAGGAAAATAACATTTTTAGAAAATATGTTATGGGTTATTTTGTTTGTTTTCAGTAGATCTTGGTACTGTTACTTTCCTGGTACTTACATATAAACATCTTACCCCTACAAGCAGGCTTGTAAGCTAATTGGTAGCAGTAGTCATGTGTGTCACAATCACTGTTTTATTAGCACTAGATACATTCTTAAGTGATTTCATTTGATCACAGCTGTCCTATAAGATTGGTAAACAGACCCATTTCTATTTTACAAAGAACTAAGGCTCAGAAAAGTTAATAACTTACCCAGAGCCATTCAGTGCGAAAGTGGTAGAGTGGGGACCCAAATTCAGTTGTTTCCCACCAATATTTATGAGCACTTATACTATGCCAGGCCCTGTACTAGTTATATGTTGTATGGTATATGCCGTCACTTTTGATCTTTGTCTTGTTTGTGACCTTGTGTATATCCTATCAGACACATACCACTGGTAAACAGCTAAACTTGAAATGTGTTTTCTGTGAGTTCAGAATTATCTTCTGAATCTAGACCTGACGTTATGTACCTGGATTTAGTCTTGCAAATCTGTTTATAACAACTCACAAAAACATATCAGATTCTTATGATTGGTTCCAAGAAGGTACATGGGTAAAATTAGCATTTTTTGCCATAATGTTGCTATACTGTATCTCTGGCTTCTTTTTAATTTTTTTAATTTTTTTAATTTTTAAATTATTTTTTGGTTTAGAAAAGTTTTTACTGAGTTATAGTCAGTTTATAATGTGTGTCAATTTCTGGTGAACAATACAATTTTTCAATCATACATGAATATACATATATTCATTTTCATATTCTTTTTCACTGTGAGCTTGAATATATTTCCCCATGCTATGCAGTATAAACTTGTTTATCTATTCTTTATATACCTGTCAGTATCTACAAATCTCAAATTCCCAGTCTATCCCTCCCCACCCCGTCTCCCCTGGTAACCACAAGTTTGTATTCAATGTCCATGAGTCTGTTTCTGTTTTATATTTAAATTCATTTGTCTTCTTTTTTTTTTTTTTAGATTCCACATATGAGTGATATCATATGGTATTTTTCTTTCTCTTTCTGGCTTACTTCACTTAGAATAACATTCTCCAGGGATATCCATGTTGCTGCAAATGGCATTATGTTATCATTTTTATGGCCAAATAGTATTCCACTGTATAAATATACCACAACTTCTTTATCCAGTCATCTGTCAATAGACATTTAGGTTGTTTCCAAGTGTTGGCTATTGTAAATAGTGCTGCTATGAACATTGGGGTGCAGGTGTCTTTTTGAATTAGGGTTCATTCTGGATATATGCCCAGGAGTTCTGGCTTCTTTTTTAATCTCTGGAGTCTAGCACAGTGTATGGCATATATATATATTCAACAAAGGAGCTTTTAACCAGTATTGCACCAAGCAGAATGGTTGAATGAATACTTTTTGAATTAACTCATTTCATCCCTACAATAATCCTCTGAGGCGGGATTGTCTCCGGCATAAAAGGAAATTGGAAGTATGGAGATTAAGTAATTTGCCAAGGGTCATACAGCTAATAAGCAACAGAGCTAGAATCCAAGAAACAGGACTCCTGACTATAAAGCCTGTGCTTTCCACCTACAGCCTTCCTATGAAAAGAATGTCAAAAAGAATCTTTTCTCATATCTCTCAAAATATTTCAAAACAGATAATCAATTTTTACATAAATGAAGTAATTTCCTATTATATATTCAGCCAGCTATTATTCCCCTTTTATAGGTTAAGATGGCTTACTCAAGGTCACACTGCTAGTAGAGGAACCTAGGCCTTCTGACATTGCTATTTTCCATTGCTGCCTCCAAGTGATGACTTTAGATGGCAAAAGTACATGGACTGAGTACATGTACAACTGGTGAAATCTAAGCTCTGTGTGTTGTACCAATTAAAAAAAAAGCAAGAAAAGAACAAATTTCTTAGGAACATAGACACACAGAATACTCAAAGTAAACACTAAAAAAAGTTTTAAACACTTATTTTTTAAAGCACATGGAAAAGAAGAACTAAATTTGAGATTCAGTTATTTGCTAAATGTTTCACATAAGCATACAAGACAGTCCACCTGTTGGATTTCCTTAGATGACTGCTTAGAATAGATAGCAGATAGACTGCTAGAATAGATACCCCTCTAAACAAATAAAGTTCCAGTTTTCCTACTCTTCTCCAGTGTAAGATTAAAAGGAATTAAATTTGTCAAGGTAGGGTAGTCGGTTTTCATAGTGAATATCTGGGGTATCTAAGCCCTAGTATAACTTGATACTTAAACTTGCCTTGAAAATAAGTGACTTAAAAGTGAAGTTATAAGATAAAAATTAGACCTGCATTTTTGTAGAGTAAAGTTCTTGTACATGGTGGTATTTTTTAAATTTCTTTTATGCCTTTGAGATATGAGGAAAGCAGTCTAGAAAAAATTAGGGTTGCATTATTTAAATGCTTAAGTACCAGAGTGTTAGGAGATAAAAGTACTAGATGGCATAATAGATACTGAGCATGACTTTTAACAATAGAGTTCATTTCTTAAAAAGACTTAATTCCTTGGCACTGAACTAGAATTTCTATTTTTGTTTCACTTTGCTTTTCATTTTTTGCTTTGGCAGTATAAAAGAGTAGATGACAATTTTGTCAGTTTGGCTTGATACACACTTTAAAAGTGGGTCCTTTTCCTGCAGAAGCTAACTGGTGTCAGTCCAGCTTAGTGTGGAGGCTTTAAAAAATACCTGATGTGGCTCCAGATGGTCCCTCTGTAAATTGGAGTTATCTATATGCTGGACTTGGATTATGATCTGTTCATGGTAACTCTGGATAGCAGTTAACTCTGCCTAGAAAGACTGACATGTTTGCAGCGTCCCAGAAAACTGGTCTTTTATATTGTTCTTGGGACTAAAATGGGATTTAAGCAAATCTGTGTAATGCCAAATTCTAGAACCAGAGTTATCATAAGCTATGTGTGTGTTTGATTTGCTTTCTGTTCCTCATTGGTCAGTTGTTTACTGTCAGGTAAATGTAGCAAGTAAATGCTGGCTCTAGACTTGGAATGCTGACTCTTATGGCCTATATTACATGGAATTAAAGTGGTTTGGAAGCTTTTCTAGTATAGGGTTGAAAATTAAAAATGACTAAACAATTTAGGCACCTAACATACTACTTTACAAAATACTTGAAGAGTTCATTTTTCTCAGGTCCTTTCTTGCTTCTCTGGCAACTTTCTACTTTTCCATGTTCGTGTTACCTTGTTTTTATTTATTATAAACCTAGAAGAATATTGTGTAGAAAAATGAGTTTTCTCATGAACAGTTTTTAGTACTTTTCTTCTTTTTGTAAATGTGAGTGTTGGAATTTTTTTTTACACTAGCCTGGATTCTGCATATTGCTGTTGATGCCATGGATGTTATAAAGGAAAATATTGGACCCTTTCTTTTCCTACCACTGTAGAGAAAATAAGTGGTCTGTAATACTTGCAAAAGATAATGAAGTCCTGTGTTATAATGACATGCCATTGTTCTGCTGCAGTTTAATAAAGGTATACAACAATGTATCAGTGCTATCTTTTGAACAATTCCAGAAAGACCCAAGGAGTAAAATAGTTAAAATTATCATTCATCACTCAGAATTGTCTTTTCCTTATGCTATAGAATGCCCCTGAATAGAGTTGCATATCTAAATATACAGAGTTCATCTCTTATTTGGAATATGGAACACTAATTGAGGATATTGGTAATTTGGTAAAGAATAAACTGTGCCATTTCCACCCCAACTGGGTATACTCAATTCAGCTCTGACATTAATCACCAGCAGATTAACACTACAGGAGTTAGTGCAGATGCCCACCAGTTAAGGGCTCAATCCTCCAGATGCCATTGCTTCCAATGCATGCCACACTTCTGACTGACTTGGCTACAGATGTGGGCATTTCTGTGACCCCTTGGATTAATAATTTGCTAAACAACTCAAAGAACTTAAGAAACCACGTGCTATACTTCTTCTAACTTTATTATAAAGGATACAACTTAGCAACAGCCAAATGAAGAGATGAATGAGGCAAGTTATAAGAGGAAATGTGAAGCTTCCATTCCCTTTTACCCTGGAGTCAGTGTGCATCACCCTCCAACACATCATGTTCATCAACAAAGAGGCTCAACCATGCCTTAGTGTCCATGATTGATTGAGTCATTGCCATGTGATTCGACTCAATCTCCAGCTCCTTTCCCCTCCTGGAGGTCAGGCTGGACCAAAGTCACCCCTCTAATCAAAGGGTTGGTCTTTCTGGTGACCAGACAGAAATTATCCTGAAACTATCTAGAGCCCCACCATGAGTCACCTCTTTGGCATAAAGATACTCCTATCACTCAGGAAATTTCCAAGAGTTTTAGGAGCTCCACACCAGGAAAGGGGGTCAAAGACCAGATACATTCTTTATTATACCACACTGACATTTACCCTTCAAAAACAAAAAAACTGGTCAAGCAGTTTAAATATATACTACATATACTTACTTGATTTTAATAATTGCACTAAATTAGAAAGTGTGTATAATTAGGACAGCATTTCAGAAGCCAGTTTGCCTTTTACCATTTGTTTAATGAATAAAAACCAAAATACTAAAATGCAAGGGTTTTTAACAAAACTATTTTGTTTTGGGGGTTTTTTGGTTTGCTTTTCTGGGCAAGTGTTTTTGAGTGAATGGAAATATATAAACATGATTTAGAAAATTCAGACAAATTTTCACGAACTCACATGCTTATAAACAAATGTTTATTCAGGTCTGTGGAATTTGTTGTTTATTTTCCTATTGGTAGGAAAATTGGAAGAAGGTATTGTCACCTATGACATTGAAAGCCCTGCAGGTATCAGCCCAGACATTCTGCTCAAAGGCTGATTGAAATTCACAGTTGGTTTCTCCCAAGATGGCAGAGAGTCTCTAAGGTGGCCCTTTTGATCCCATCTTCTGATGTTTACTCCTTTGTGTAATCCCCTCCCTTTGAGTGTGGGCAGGACCTGTGATTTGCCTTCTAACCAACAGAGTATGGCAAAGGTGATCAGATATCACTCCCATGATTGTATTATATGATATGGCCAAGTTGATAGGATAATACTCCCATGGTTACATTGTTATGTTAGACTTTATCTTGCTAGCACACTCATTCTCACACTCCTGTTGGCCATGAAGAAGTAAGCTGTTATGTTGTGAACGTCCTGTGAAGAGAGCCATGTGGTAGGGAAATGTGAACAGCCCCTAGGAGCTGAGGCTGGCCTCCGGCTGACAAACATCAAAATAATGATGACTTAAATGACTTAAATTATGCAGTGGTGTTTTTTTGAAGATAGCCTTGAGTTCTGTTCTAGGATTTATAGAATAATGAACTACTGCTTACTGAGAAAGCTGTCAAGAGGGAAAGAAAGTAACAATTTACTTCCTCTGGAAAATTGTGTAGAGAGACTACCAAATTAACTCCAATTTCTAAATTTTTTTCATATTTTTTGTGGTAAAATACACGCCACATAAAATGTACCATCTTAACCATTTTTAAGTGTACAGTTCAGTGGCATTAGATCATACTGTTGTGCAACTGTCCCCACCGTCCATCTGTAGAACTCTTTTCAATTGAAAAACTGAAACTGTATATTCATTAAACAATTACACCCTCCTCCATTTCCTCTTCCCCTGTCCTGCCCCTCAGCCTCTGGTAGCCACCATTCTGCTTTCTGTTTATGAATCTGGCTGCCTCATATAAGACTGAATCATACAATTCTGTCTCTAGGTACCTCATATAAGTAGAATCATATAATATTTGTCTTTTTGTAACTGGCTTGTTTCACTTAGCCTGATGTCCTTAAGGTTCATCCACCTTGTGGCATTTGTTAGAATTTCATTCCATTCAAGTGGTAGAGCACATGCTTAGCATTCATGAGGTCCTGGGTTCAATCCCCAGTACCGCCTCTAAAAATAAATAAATAAATAAATAACCCTAATTACCTCCCCCCAACAAAATAAAAAGAAAGAAAAAATAATTTCATTCCTTTTTAAGGCTGAATAATATTCCATTGTAGTGTTTTTGTGTGTGTGTGTGTGTGTGTGTGTGTGTGTACACATGATATTTTGCTTATTCATTATCCATTGATAGACACTGGGGTTGCTTCCAGTTTCAGCTACCAAATTCTAAATTTTAAGAAGGGCAGTTAATCCAAAAGGCCTGAAAAGAAGGAGTCAGATGTCCGAGATACATTACATTAAAAATGCACAGTGGCATTTAGACACA